TTCGTTTATTTAACTGGAGAGTTCATAAAATCACTAAGAGGTATTATTAAAAGACTTCTATTCGTGATAATACAGAAAGCCATCATTATTTGTATTGTGTTCGTTTGTACTTTAATACTAAGCTGTACGGGAAACCAGTTTAGTAGACCAGTTTCCAAGGTTCAAGAAATTATCCGTTCATGACATCCTGCATTTTTTGGAAGCATGTATAATAAAAAATAAATTCAAAACTGATAGATGCGAGAAATCACATGAATTACTTATTTATGTACGTCAAAAACTTAAAAAAACTGTGTGTTGACGTGCGATGGGAAAAGCTAATTTGAAGTATTTTTTGACCCAGAAGCAAAACAAGGGGCCATCTCGAATTTTGCTAAGGATCAGGGAAACTGGACGAATCTGATCGAGATGAAGATTGAAAGCTAATTCAATTTTGCGGTAAATGATAAATGGACTAGCCATTACGATCAAGAAGCACAGTAAATATGAAGAAATGGAAACGGTTTGATTTGTCAAATGAAGTGGAAATGTATTATATTTTCGTCGCAGAACATGAAACATTCCACGCTTTTCAGTGTAATGATAGTATTCATGATTCGTGACTTTGTCTACTTCAACGTATAAAATGTTGGCTGTAATAAAAAACAGTGGAAGTTTTCACTTGATCAACTCACGAAGAAACTTCCAGAAATCTAACCCAACTCGTAATAAACTGATTTTAAATCTGAAATTTTCATCCACGAAAGGAATATTCTTAACTCTCCCAGAAACATTAATTAATCAACTGGCAATAATATTCACAAATGAGTGTGAAAAGGAGCTTCGAAACACGGCGATGTATACGGATTGAAGTTTAAAAAAATGTACGAGTATTTAAGACGTTGGAACCCTCACATCATTTCTATTTTTTTCCGAAATAAATGTGTTTTGAAAATCCTCATTGCCAAGAACACTCGTTACTTTCATTAATATTTCAATTAAAAGCCGTAAAAGAGAGGTAGGGACTTTGGAGCTCAAGAAAAAGTACGAGATGTTCTTCTCATGTCACATACAATATTTCTGCTACATGTATTTTTTCTTTTTGTTAAATAAAACTAAAATAAATATTTACATCGATGTTACGAAGGGTTCCTCTTATTTTCGATATTAAACCATAATCGACACTAGACTAAAAAACGACGTTTAATTTTCATCTAAAAATTATAATGAGTTTACTAATTACGACAACCGCAAATTAAGGCCCTTTTTGGAAAATCAATAAATCTTTCATTTCAATTTTTGTCGTCATTATAGATGTTAAAATTCCTAGAGTTGTCACGTGTAAACGTATGATTAACATGCATGGCCAAAAAAATGCTTTTAAAGTTAGTTTTATTTTAATGGAGACTTATAAGTGATTAAACTAAAAAAACAACAACATATATTGAGGTGTGAAATTTTATTCAATCTTCAAAGTCCAAGTATTTTTTTCTAAGTCTTTCGTGTTGAGAATTGTGGGTTAAATTAAGGTTGGGATTGTGAACAGATTATGTTTGGCTGTTGATCATTAAGTGGGTAGTGTTTTATTTATGACTTTCCGAGTCTGAAGGAATGTGAATATTTGTATATGTGATAACAGAATTGAAGAAAGAAACAAAAGGAAATGTGAAGGATTACTCATTGTATAGCAGCGTTGTGAGACAAATGACCCCTTGCGAGCATGCTGTCTTATCTGAGTAAATATGTTATTTTTCTCTCGCTGAGAAATATCTTCCTCTTTGCGATGAGTTAAAGTTAGGTTTATTTTGTTTTTTTACATTCAATGCAGCACGAGTCAAAATAATTTTAAAATTATTCGTAAAAACAATTTCACTTCAAATTTAGAACGTTTATTCATGTTTTGGATGAATACGATGCAGTTAATGTGAACAAATGGCTATCGTTCAACAAAACTTTATATTTCCGAATGCCTATATATTTTATATTATTTCATAGAAATAATTGTACATTTTTATATAAGAGTGGAAAATGTGTATATTTTATGCTCTCGAATAAAAGTCAATTCAACCTTAAAAATCATTTCGCACAATCATTAGCGCTATCTATTAGCAAGCATTCTTAAGAAGAATGTTAGCCTTCGCGGAAGGGCTTTTAATCCATTTCCCTTGATCCATTAATCAAAAGATGAGGCAGACCCTTGTTTTGTTTCTAAAGAAGGGGGACTAGTGGCCTCCCTGGAAAATTTTGATAGGAGAAAAATAGCTCTACGTAATAAAACGTTTTAATTCCGTAAATATGTTAAATCCCTGATTTCTCTCTTTTTGATGGAGAAGGGGGCTCGGAACTATATTTGCTCCCCCTTTTGTTTCAGGCTGCGCACGCCTATAGTCGATGTTATTTTTTCAGCAATACTATAAAACCAAATCTGTACTAGATCGTTCGCTAATAGAAATACTTTTTCTCAAACTTGTGAAAGAGTTTCCTGGTTTTCGCATGTCAACCACGCGTGTGGGTACATTTTTCCAACATTTCCAACAACGTTTAGTCAGGGGCTCTCACGAGAGTTGGGGCAAATTGCTCCAGGTCCCGGCCTAATGGGGGCCGCGAATTTTTTTCCATTCAAAGCGAATAAAAAATGTATTTACTTCTAATTTAAATTAACAGCTAAACATTATTTCTTTGACATGCGTAACTACATTAATTTTATGAGATAGGAGGGGCGGAACGTGTGTTTGAAAGAAGGGGTCTCCGCGGATCTATTGTCCCAGGCTTCCTAGCGCCCCAATGCAAACGAATGGGATAGGGATTCTGGGGCTGAAGAAAACGTGCGCTGATAATACTTTTCCTCCCAAACAAAACAGTTTTACTGTTTTTTGACGATAAACAAATACGTAATTTAATAAAATCAGATGCTGGAAATGTGATTCCCAATGTTACTACTTGTCTATCGACTTAATTTTAATAAAATTGATCCAAAATATTTACAAAATGAATGAAGATCTCATTAAGTGTTGTGTATCGATATATTACGTCTGAAAATAGTGTTAAAGGTAAGTTGATGGTCGTTTGATGACAATGATGATTGCAATGGCATGTATATTGACGATGAACAGAAATGTTGGAATATGTGCTTACTTTTTTATGTCGTCCGGGCCGCAATCACATGAGGAAAACTATTGTCATTTGTATCCACGACCCTTCTTTTCGTCCAATGACTTCGACGCTTGAGTCGACAAGGAATTTAAAGAACATTTTAAAATTTGACCAATCGGGGTACGACGTAGAAAACAATTTATCGATAATGTTTAAACAATATCATTGCAAGATTATTGAAGTTATTACTTCAACTACAAATTCATCTCGTATGGCCAATTAAAAATTGTCTCAACAAAATAGTACTGCTGCGCTAGCAACTCCAACTAGATTTCGTCCAATGATGTCGTCACATGTGTCGGCATGGAATTAAACGAAAGTTGAGTGATTGCGAATTTGGCATCACAGAAAAACTTCATGTTTCACATGTTAAATCAGTATGAAGGCTAATTTTTACACTAAAACGTTACTGAATGCAAAGTTGGAACACTCTAAAAAATTCTCAATTTCAAGAACAAATAAAGGCTTAAAATGTATTTTAAAATACAGTAATATTTGTTAATTTAAAATGCATCCAAAAAGCTATGTGATTGAAACCATTCCTTAATAAGAATAAATGCAGAGAAGAGATGGTTACAACAGGCATGGTAAAATCTCACTGTTACGACAGTTTGTATTTGGTTTAATTCAGTGTGCGAATTGTGCATGTTAGAAAAAAAGAACTAGGGATTGTTGTTTTCAATAAGTCCAATGCTCACTAAGAATTGGAGTCAGTAAGAAATACTCATGACATTTAGTTCGTATTTTATGCAATTTGTCCATTCCTCAACGAAATATCTCTCTAAAAGGGATCCGTTTTTGTTATAAGTTATTAGTTTTCGTGTTAGAATTGGAAGCTCTTATAACTCTTTGCCTTAAGTTTGTATCTTAAGTGCAGCTTTCCTGGTTATTCAAATTAAAGACTAAACTAGTTACCTTCAGAGTTGTCTGACGTAAAAAGGAAGAGTTCTAGTAATTTGAGGAGTCGGTATATAAAAACTTTAAAGATTTTGAACAATGAGTATTTGGATTAAAGGTAATCGCGGTTCAAAAACGAATGTCATCTTAAATGCTTACATGTTTTGGTAATTTAAATATAATGTTTTTAAATATGCGGAAAAGTATTTGTTTTGTCGTAAAACAAATTGTACCTAAAAAATCCTTGGCGTAACTAGTCGATTCTAGGAGTCGTTAAGAATGTTTGACTCCAGTGAATATACATATCCAGTTTTACTTCATATTTTGTGAAATGAATTTTAACTAACTAATTTTAAAACATTCTTGAAGATCTTCATCAGGTCTGAGTTTTTCTTAATATTCATTATGACATCAAAATAAATGCGAGTCTTGCACTTAGAATCTTTCGTTTTCATAATAATTCGCGAAATATTAATAAAAAGATATTTCTATGACAGTATACTGCCATTGTATTTCAAAAAAAAGCGAGAAAGAGGACAATAAAATAAAATAAGGGGGGTAATACTTGCTTCCAAAGTCAGATAACAGTCTGATCCCCATTCAAACGACAGGATATCTTACCACTTCTAATATCTACGTAAAATAAATCTGTACATGGAAAAGTTTAGATATGAGTTGCAAAGTGAATTTTTTAAGGCTTTGATAAATCTAGATAAAAACTGCACTATCATTTTAGGGTCTTTTCACCAAAAGAATGTTTGGAGGAATTTTTGATCTGAATTCTTTCCTTGTACGTACTACTTTAACGCAGACTTAATTACTCACTATTTAAATTTTTCATAGCGATAATCATAATTTTTCATAACATTTTTCCGAAACACTTTTCTCAAGAACTTGTACCCACTTCATCGATATGTCACTTCGTAATATGTTTTAAATTAAACAGAAAATAATAGAACTCATTACATTACCTTCTGTTCGAAATTCTCCTCATGTAGCTCTTCTAAAGTTGGACGAAAAACGGGGGGTGATGATGTTGTCAGATCTCTGTAATGTTCTGCCCTCGGTGGTACTTCACGTGTCAACTGGCTCTTGTGCCGCGAGTCATACGATCCCTGATTGTGACCAACGGATAGTTGATTCACATTGAGAGAGTCGTCTTTTTCTGCATCACCGTCAACTTTTGCGACTTGAAACCGACTGACGTTGTTCTGATCTAGATCTGCGAGTTCATGTTCACCCTTCTCCATGTCCTTAGATGCGCTGGATGATTTCCCACTAAACATGGTTTGTTATTCTTCTGACGGCACTCTGAGACGAACTGAACATCGCGCTTCGCACCACAGAAGCCCTCCAGGCGCGAGTATCTCTCCAATTGGCCAGTAGAGTGCAGCGTTCGCGGCACTGGATATGGAGAAGGGGGAACCAGGGGAGTCAGATGTCCACTGAATCAGATATCAGATATAACATAAGATTTATTAGCAGCGGTAATCAACTTTTGGGCGGTTTGAGGAATGGAATTTGATTGCCTTTTCAGTAGTTCATTTCCACAAGCAATAAAATATATAACTGAAGAACAAGTGGAACCCAATTCGCTTTCATGTATGTATATGTATGGTCTGTTTGCCTCGTCGGGGTAATGTGATATGCGATGAGGCGTCTATTTTATACTTTATCTCGCTCGAAAAAGTGTTATTAGTTTCTAAGATTTGAATTCAAGAACTTTTATTCGGAACACCTTGTGTTACCAACATCTTCGAGTTATATCTTAGTACCTTAACCTGCAGTTCGTTGTTGTTTATTTTCTTAATGAACTCTTTTCAGGTTAAACGCCGACTCATAGCTCATGAGTAAATGTGGCAAGTCGTTTTACATCAAGGTTTCTTTTTCTGTAAGGTGTTTTGTGTCAGGAGCATATAATAAAATGGGAAAAGATAATGAATTGGTTGCAGCTGAAGCAAAATTGTTGCTTGAATCAAGAAAAATTGTGCCTCCTCTTACTCAAAAAAGCTATAAGGGCCAAGCTGGCCGTATTGGAGTGATTGGGGGCTCTTTGGAGTATACGGGGGCGCCTTATTTTTCTGCCATTTCCGCTTTGAAGGTTGGATGTGATTTATCACATGTCTTTTGTCCCAAGGATGCTGCTATAGTCATAAAATCTTACAGCCCTGAATTAATTGTTCATCCAGTCTTGGATGCAAAAAATGCAGTAGAACAAATTAAACCTTGGATTCCTCGTCTTCATGCTCTTGTTATTGGACCAGGCTTAGGAAAGGAACCAAGTGCAATTGAAATTGTCAGTGACATCATCAATTTATGTCGCACTGGTGATTCAGAGTACCAAAAACCACTAGTTATTGATGCTGATGGATTGTTTATGATTACACAAAATCCAGAAGTTATCCGCAATTATCCACATGGTGCAATTCTTACTCCAAATGCTATAGAATTCTCTCGGTTGGCAAAAGTTATTTTGCAAGAGGACTGGGCTGCCACGCCAGAACCTGCAATGGAGAATGTAAAGAGGTTAGCTGTTGCTCTTGGGCCAAATATTATTGTATTACATAAAGGTAAAGTTGATGTTATTGCTGATGGTGGTAGTGGTTCTGTGTGGCAATGTTCAGGGCCTGGTGTAGGTAGGCGCTGTGGGGGGCAAGGTGATCTTCTTTCAGGCAGTCTTGGAGTGTTTTATACTTGGGCATTGATGGCTTCTCGAAAAAGTGATAGTAAGTGCCAGTTTCCTCCTGGTGTTATTGCATCCTACGCTGGCTGTAGACTTACTAGAGAATGTGCTGTAAGAGCTGTTGCAAGAGCTGGTCGGAGTACTGTTGCATCTGATATGATAGATGAAATTCATCCTGCTTTTGAAACTTTGTTAGGAGAGTAATTGGAAGTTAAATAATTGATTGCTGGGGAAATAATCTTGAAAGTCATCAGATTACGGTTTAGAAATGGATACATTGGGTCTGCTATTCAGGGTCAGTTGCAAAGTTGTTATAATAAAAACTTTATTTACTTGCAAATGAAGACTGAACGTTTTTAGCAAAAATCTCTTAGGGGTTCATTGCATTTATACAGTTTTAAAGATTGTTGCCAAAGTTTTCTGAGAATTTTACTATCTGAAGCAATTTCTTAACTATAATAAGCAATTTACAATCTTGGCTATTTCTGATAGTTGAAAGGTATTGTTTGTGTGTACGAACATCATGTTTATATAAGTATTATGCAAATTTTACTTTGATCTCAGAATATAATTCAAGAATTCTTTTCCTTTTAAATAGTGATATTACACATCTGCATATTAAAAAATATTATAATTTTGTTTCGAAATAAATACAAATTCTATTTTTCTGTCTCCTCTCTTTAAATTTTTAACTGAAGTTATGGGATCTTATTTGCAGAACTGGTTATTACTATATATTTATTTTAAATTTTCTGATTCTTCAATAAATATTGTTTTGTTATGTTCTTTGGGTGTTTAGTATTCTATAGAGTTATTAAGTGGTGGATCTCTGTAAAAGTGTTTTGCAGAAATGCAGATAATATTTTCTTTTGATTACTAATGATTCTTACAGTTTCAATACCTTTTTAGTATCTGAATATGCCATATTATTGTTTTGTTCTCAGAACTAACATATTATTAAAGATAAGACTTGTATTGTACTGATTACTGGTAAGGGTCTCATGTTGTGTTGATATTATCAATATGCTAGTTAATGTGGCAATATGCAACTAAAATATGATTTTGTTTTGTGGAATGGTGTGAGAAATAAAGAATTTTTAAAATGAGGCTTGTATTGCAAGCTTGCCTTTTCTACCAAAAGTGAATTACCTTGTATTGTATGAATCAGCAATTGTGATAATTAATGTTATATCCTGAAAAAAACTTCTTAATACATATTAGATTTGGTTGTGTGATCTTATAAGACTGCGAGTTCTAATGAATACACTATTTGTGATTCTGATTACTTTTTAAATATATCTTTTTTTGTTAAGATGTGAATAATGTTTATTTATTAATTGAAAAATAAGTATAAACTCATTATTTTTTTCCTTACTCATTTCCTGGTTTTTACTCCTAACTACATTTTTCTTAGTCCCTGTAAAATGTGTATTTCTGAAGACAATAGTTTCTTGCTAATATTTAATATGAGATGCATGCTTGTTAAACTTTCAGAACGTCTGAAATTTGTGAGCAATTCTAATGCCACATGAATTGAATGTGCAAGGAGCTTTTTATTTGTAATATATTCGCTGTTTACTTTTTATGAACTTTTAACGCAATGAATATTTACCTTTTTTGATTGTTATAGTGCATTATTATCTCATTTTCCTTGGGGTACAAAATAATCTAGCACCAGCCCTGCCTTTAATATGTCCCTGTTATGAAGTGGGAAAGAAATTTACGAAGTGACTTATTTCAAATGTCTTGATTTAAATTATGTAGCCTCAGCTTTGTAGTGCAGAAGACGTATTTTATCAAATAAATTATGGCTATGATGAAAATGTACTACAAAAAGTAAACAAGCTGAAAAGTGTACTTACAGCAATGAAAATGATTGATATAGTAATTTCAAAAATGTTATATTCTTCATATGAAGTATCCAGTTAGCCCTTAAGATTAAAATGATGTCTAATAACATAACTCTGTAGTATGTTATATCATGGTTTTTTCAACCTATATTTTTTTAACTGAAATACTTAAGTAGTTATGAGTAAGTTATATAATTTTCAATTACTGATACTTATCTCTATTTAGTGGGAAACATTTTGAAATCCAATTCCCCCCCCCCCATATTTATCTTTAAGAGCACGTCTTGTAATGTTAATAATTTAAATTTTAGTAATACTATGCAGCTAAAATTTAAAATGGGCATAAACTTATACTTAGATGTGCAGGAATTTTCTCATAATTTTGAATAAAATTAAGTTATGAAAATTATTTGTTTGTATGCCTTTAAAGATTACATAAATTTGTAGACACATTTAAGAAGGTTAAATACATTCAGAGAATTCATTTAAATCTTACAGTTCACTTCTCAGTGAGAATTGTCATTTAATTTTAGCAGTGTGCCTGCCAGGCATGTGCCTTCTGTAATATTTTCTTATGACAAAAAAGAATATAATAATGTAAAATGTAGGAAATGGTTGATATTAATTCATTGTAATTTTAAGTCCAGGGTAGTCATTCATCTACTAAAACCAAGCATATATATGCTCCCAGTACCAGGAGGTGATTACTTAGTACTCGGTAGAAGTATATTAGGATGCATTTCAACTTGTTGCAAAGTCAGCTGTAATGAGATTGTGAACTAAAACTTGCAACCACCACTCATCTTAGAGGACTTGCAGACCCTGATTATGGTAGTTAGCAAAACAAGCCATGCCTACATTAATGTAATTTTACTTAATTTTTTTAAAAAGAATACCATATTTAGATTGCATCACATCCACAGCAGTATTCTCGTTACTATGGCCTGGATAATTATGTAATATATATTCACGTTTTGTATTGGTTAATGCAAAAAAATAGATGGAATAGAATATTATTATTATAGGGTGAAAGGACTAGGATAATGGTATGAGGTGTTTGATTATGTTGTGGGAGATATTCGTGGGATTTTGGAACCATCCCAGCATTCGCCTTGTGACCGAGGGAAACCACGAAAACACCAGTCAGGATGGCCGACCCGGGAATGGAACCCGGGCCTCCCGATTGCGAATCCATATTTTTATTTTTCCTGCAATTTTTGAAATTTAATTCTTAATTTTTTCTGACTGTTTTTGATAAGGACTCTCCCAGACAAACAATTCAGCTTTGTCAAACATTTTTTCTGTAGCCGCCTCTAAAATGCCGCCACTGTAGCGCGTTGAAATGAGTCTGCCTATAAATAGCGACGGTATTGTAAATAAAGGGAAAGGTGATGCAATCTAGAGCTTCTGGTGCGTTAGTTTTCAGCGGTAGTACCGCAGAGAAAAGAAAGGAAGTTTGGTGTGTGAAAATGATACGTTTAGCAGGCGATATCGCGCACCTATTTCGCAACTTTCAGGTCTCCCTTGACCTTGATATCCTTCACCATGGTGGAAATACCTATGGTGTTATTTCCACCATGCCCTTCACCAGAAACTACACGCACCAGTTCAGGAGGCGCCACTGCCGTTGACAATTTGCTTTCCCTAATTCTCACCCGCGAATCTCCACTGTTGTTTGTAAATTTATCTTTTTGGGCCGAAAATCTGAAGTAAAACTTCAAAGTGGCTCTGAAGTTTTTGGATTAAACATTATGAGGGCAGAGGTACTGCTGAATGTGAATTTGGCACAGGCAAGCACGACTTTTCAGAGCAGCAATCGTGCTCGGGGTAAGAACATCTTAAGTGAAAATTTTACAATCTAAGAATCAGTTGGTCAAATTTGAACCAGCATTGTTTTTATTCCCTAATCCTTGAGAAACATTGAACAGTGACAATGTGGATTCAGTTTACATTTTTAGTATACCTTGTTCTACATTTTACTTTAAAATGCCGCAGAACAAAACTCTGACATGAGTAAAAACTTGAACCACTTCACACAATAATTCGAACTTTTCTACACATTTTTTAGACGTGAAACAGATGTGGCACGTGCTTAGTGATTTCTCATCTTTTAATATGTCGTGTAATCAAACTTGAAATTCGAAGATAAATATTCAAACCCCCAAACAATTTTTATTGACCGAATCTCTGGCTCGCCAAAACCCTGAGTCTCGGAAATCTCACTTTGAAATTGAGTCGATTTGCCTTGTATTGTGGTGTACACCGCCATTCCTGTATGGAAATTAAGCAATACATGCATTACTACGTGCATTTCTGTAAAAATATTCACTTGAAACAATTCCCCACGAATCTACAATAAGAAAGAACTGTCCCATATTTATATACAAAAAAATGAATTCCATTCATTGTTTGGAAACAATGGATTCCATTTATGTATCAATTGACGAAACAACTGATGTGCAAAGAAATCATTTTGGGAATATAAAGGTCGCATCAACATGTAGTTCATTAGCGACCACTATTGCATTTAACGGAATGGTAACTATTAAGATGACATGATATGGTGAAGATAGGGGGTTAAAGGACGAACACAAATACAACTATGCTTGAGGGGGGACTCCAGCCCGCCGTCCTTCGGTCCGTGATCGATACGGCGTCTCAGGTCGGCGACCAGGTATCTCCCGCGAGCGGGGGCACCGCCACAGCCGGGACAAGCTCTAAGCTCCCGACCGGCCTCCCGGTATGTTTGGTGGTCTAGTGCATATTTCTGTAAGGGGTGAGGGTAGGACAATGAAGATGAATGAAAGATCGCGCGCGGTTCGTGGCCCGTTTGTTAGGGGTCTGCTTCGGCATTCGGAAAACTACGGATCAGAGCAGCCGGCCATTAGAATTCTCCTTCAGACAGTAACCGAATTCGACCAAGCTGACATGCTAGTGTGGAAACTCTTGCCACTGTCGGGACTCGAACCTAAGACCTCTCAGTCGAAGTCTCTTCTTTGCCATCAGTTCGTGCACTGAGCCACCTCCCACTAATGTCCCATTGCGACGGGTTTCGAGAAACATCGATTTTTCACGCCGTTGATTTTTACTTTCTCGCCCTTAAGAAGAGAATGTTATGCAATACTACGGGAAAAAACGTCGAATTTTCGGCACAAAAACTCGTATTGCCGAGCCCTGGAAATGAAAAAGGGAATAAATCCAGTTGTTTAAATAAAAAAAATCCTCTAACACGTGGTGTAGCCAAAATCTATGTTTTGTGGGGTTTTGACACCGAAAAATCGAATGATGGCAAAACGTCTGTCGGTCTGTGAACAACGTGATGTGTTTTTTTTGAGTAGGCTAACCGTGCCCGCTAGGGCCAAAGCAGGAACATAACCGCTCGTTATTGCATTGTGCATAAATTTAAACAAAGTGAGGAACTGGCGTATTTGAGAAGATAATTTGATTTCTTCTGCTGACCACATCGTTGAATACTCTGCATTTTCTTGAAATGCAAAGTTAGAAATAATGCAATGAAGTATTTGTTGTTGTAACCCCACTAGTTTTCTATGTAAGTGGTTTTCAAACTTTTTGCTGACTTCCTTCAGGTAACAAATTCTGCACACGCCTCTCATTAAAATTAAATTGTTAGTAAAAAATAATTAATTTTTTTTCCTGAAAGTAAGGCCATCATGTACACATTGTTATTATATACTTACAATGTACAAAATAATTAATGAAAGTGATTTGCACTGTTCACTCTTGAATTTAATTAATGTTTGATAAAGTAAGGAGAACTATAAAAAAACGAACATTTGATAGTCTAGAAAAGTCAGTGAGGTGGATGGACTTGTTTGGTGTTTCTCAGTTAATCGAAGCTTGACACTAATTTAGAAATGTCAGAGGTTTATTATTAATCCCCGCCGTGGCTGAAAATCCTTTTTCACATCCGTAAGAAGTGAAGAAAGGAAGCCCAGCACGCAAGGCCTTACTTAACTGGATACTGATTCTTTACAGAGCACCAAAATTCGGAGTGTTGAAGGAATGAATCACACCGCAACAAAGCGAGCCGTATTCTGTTGCGACAACTGACAGAGCTCTTTAAAGAAACTGATAGTTGACAATGTTGGTTTTACGGAAGCAGTGCGATCACTTATTTTACAAATGTTTTCTCCCCATTCGTTAAAATGAATGAAGGCACATACACAGTCCGATAGTAATTTATTCGTGTAGAAATAATTAGAGCATTATTAAGCATTTGAACTTAATTTAATTAAATTATTACGAAGTTCACGCGCCTCCCTGGTGAGGTGCGCCTCATAGTTTGAAGAAAACTGCTCCATGTTACTCTGTATCCGTCTCGAATAATGCATTATTTATAGAGATGAAGAAAGTATTTTTTCCAAACTTCAAAAATTACAATTTTCATCTCTTGCAAGAAAAGAGACTAAAGAGATTGTGTAGGAAGAATAAACTGAAGATTAATTTGTACACATAGTTTAATTCAAGAACGTTGTACAAGTACTTTGACATTGTTGTTGTGTATAATGAACATGACAAAATATTGACTATAATACTGAATGTTGTAAGTACACACATCTTTACTAAACATTTTACTGAGTATTTTGTATATTAAGCACACAATGGGTTAATATTTTCAATGGCAATGTAAAAATATTTGATGCCGTAATCTATTACTCGTTTGTAATAGCTCAGAAGGTTAATAGAAAATGAAAAGGGAAATCTAATTTTTCAAGTCGAATTCAATCGTATTGAACAAAGAAAAACCCTCTTCACAAGGAAAATATGAAGAAGTATGTCCTTAGATTATTTGGTTGAAAAACGCCACACACTTAATGACTAGTTTTCACTCTACAACTATCTTACATCTTCACTGAATCTGATTTTTCGAAAAGGTCACATCTCTACACAGAAATGAGTTAAGCACATTATTTGATTCAGAATATACTTCAAACTCCATTAGTATGAACACGCCACATGCCATCTGTTCGTTAATATAATATAATCCGATGTGGTTCTCTGTTAACTTCAAATAGGCCAATTTTTGTTGCAGAGAGATGTGGAGTTTTCTAACAACGTGCGCACCTCGAAGAGCGCGTCGTCTTTTCGAAATAATCGATTCAATTTTCTTTTGTTGCTGTGTAGTGAAACCGGATGAATTGGTCGGGAAACACATAAAGCACTCATCACTTCCAAAGTATTACATTGGATTTCTCTCTATTCTTCGGCTCTGCTTCTTCGATGTATTCGCCTGTCAATTCCTATAAAGTTCTCATTATGAGTAGAAAGTTAGAACAGACGTGTGATTCCCGCGCACGAATAAGAACGGAGGCATGTCCCGGGAGAGCATCTCCAGCCACGCCATGTACAGAGGAGCCGAGACAGTTCCTTTTCTCGGCATAGGCAGGGACCTGTGGAAGAAATACGAAAGGCAGTGTTAGCTTAGATGCGGCATCTTTTAATGTTTGGTAAGGCACTAGAACATTACTTACATCACAACTAAAACAGCGTCCTGGGAATTTTCTAGAAGCATTTCGCGGAGTCTTAACTGTCGGTTTGTTTTCTCATGAAGAGTTGCCAGTTCTGTGTCAGTTACTCGGCATTCTGAAAAGTGAAGTATTATTAATTTTGTTTTGAAGAGGGAAATAATTGAGAACAACGTCCGTGTTAAGAGACTGATGACTAGACCTCGGAATATTAGGCACAAACAAGTGATAATTTAGGCACCTACTAAAATAGATAAAAAAAAAGAAATCAGACACTAATTGGCACGAAAAGTGACGTTTTAGGCACCTAAAATAGGTTACAAAACGAGTAAACCAGGCATTTAACAAACATTAGGCATGACAAGTTATGTTCCTGTCATCTAAAACTGATCACAGAAGGATTAAATTAGCCACGTTTTTTATTTAGGAAAATCACGAATTTTTACATTTATGAGTGACTATAAGCATATTCTTTTATTTACTTTACTTTCATTTAATTTAATTCATTCGTTCACGCATTTCATTTTCAACATGTAAACAGCACAGCTGCACCGGGAATGGGCGCAATTGCTTAATTGCGTGCTGATCGGAAACGAGTGTAAAACATCATCTTAATATTGACTTGTGGAGGTGGTTAGTTAGGAGGATTCGGTGCGTAGATGATTGCGTATTTACTCGGAGAGTATTCGCGTTTCGGGAAAGTATTTGCGTTAACGTATGACAAATTTAAAAAATGAGTAATTACAAAATGATAATTGATAAAAATTACTTGTTTTATGCATATTTAAGAAAAAATATTAAAATAGGCATCAACAGCCCTTTTAGGCCATTTTAGGCGCTAGTACAAGTAAATGCTTTCAGTAGATCTATTTTTTTCTTGATTCGTAAACATCTGCAATTATTTTAAGGAACTAAATTCGTATTTGTCCTAAAATTCGAGGTCTACTGATGTCACACAAGTTTTCATAGTATAGTTAATTATTATGAATATAATTTTTTTTGCATAATAATTTGTATTTTCTTTCCGTTGTATTATCTAAGTAGATGTAATGTGATCGTGGATCGTTATTACTTTTCATGTCTCAAGTGTTATTTAAGTCAAATAATGCGGATGTACTCGTCAGTCTCATAAACTTGGAATGTGCCTTTAGTTTAAGAACGCGAAATGAGCCAAATATTCTGAATACTTTAGTACTGTTTGGCAGAGTGTGAGCAAGATTAACGTATAAATCTTGCTGAACACTTTTAAGAGGACACGAAACGATTTTGCAGTCAATTTTTTTGGTATTTTATTTTTTATAAATATTCATAATTATCTCTTAAAATTGGCGTTTGAACTGTGTTGATATCCCTCTTACAAGTATTTTTAAAATCATTTATATGCGAAGTCCTCCTCTCATTGGGCCCAGGTGCTGGCTCCAAAACTTTTAAGATACTATTACATAATGCAGCGCATAAATACTGAAAGACTTAGACGTGCAGAAATTAAATTGAAAACGTTATGTCGTGAAGCTAACCAATATCAAAAACGGCTCAAAAGGAAGTAGTTATTGGAAAATGTTTTTTCTGATGAGGCAGGTTATGGAGCTGGTATGTTCGGAGGGTTGCATCTTCAAAGCCTATTTCCCCAAAGTTGATATTTTTAATTATCTCTTTTTCAACTCACATTTATAATAGGAAACTGAAATTTTCAGTTGTTAATAAAGGTATACTACATTTACTGAAACAATTTTTCTAGTTACCTTAGTATAATACATTCTGTAAATCTTTATTTACTAGAAAACGCGGTAAAAATTACATCATAAGAAAATATTTTTATCTAGAAAAATAATTAAAAAATTAAAAGTCGTTGTTTCAATGTTATTATCAGTAACAGATCTATAATCTGTAAAAAATCGTAACTTTTATATGGCATTCCGTGTACTCTTAAATCCGAATGCAGAAGCCAAATAATAATAATAATAATAATAATAATAATAATAATAATAATAATAATAATAATAATAATAATAGTTAATAAACCCTTACCTTCATGGGCTCCGTCACTTTCGCGGAAGCCCTCCAGGAGACTGTTCAACATGTTAACCGTTTCGCTCTTTGGTTTTTCAGTAATGCCAGTTACCATCTTTAAGCTTGAGTAATCTATCCGGAACTTCGATAGTAGATTAGCCATGCTGCAATTAAAATAGCGTGCATATAGATTTTGTTTATTTAAGGGAATATGTTCACTGTAATATAGTGTCATCTCATATTGTTAAATGTTGGTTAGGGAAAACAAAATAAACTCTTTTACAGTTTATTAAATTTAAGCAATTTGTTATAAAACTGAGGGCAGTGGCAGTTGCACGTAGGTATCAAAAATACTTCTGTACATTGCCACAAGAAGCCATCTATCTTACTTACATATTATATGTGCCAATTCTAAATATATTTCGTATGTAGTTGAAAATGTAAACAAATGTATGTCGTCTCTTATTAGTCATTTTACGAAGGGGAAAGTGTCACGAATTCTTGTTAGTTACGTCACAGTAAGGATTGTAATGAGAATGCTCTTCCTCTGACGTCTCCAGATTGTTTTTAACATAAGTGACATTGGAAAATTTGACAATGAAAACTCACTTGCGTTCCTCCAACTCCAGTTCATGCCCACGATTGGCCAGAGCAAACACTCTTAGTTTGCAGTGAGACCAATAGCTCCTCATATGCACGATGTAAGGAAGAAGAATGGTTAAACCTAAAATAGAGGAATACTTTAGTGCGTAAGTTGCCCTTAAATTTTTCATTACAGGTATCAGCTTATTGGTGAAGTGGTGTACCTCCATCATCGTATAGCCACCAGACGTCGATCGTGCCTTTCTTCTGTTTGCGGTCGAATAACGTCATATTGGCGAGAATTTCCCGAGGGATGTCGTGGCCCGTTGCGTCTCTAAATTTAGTAACGAAGAAATGGAATAATTGCAGATAAAACAGAGTTAAAATACTAGATTAATTAATTGGCAAAAAGAGAAATTTGCTTTATTTTTACTTACTTGAGGATTTGTTCTGCAACAGCTTTTTTCTTGGATTTCAGAATTGTTTTAGGACTCCCTATATTCCAGGTCTTGTCGTGCTGTAAATTATACCTTCTACCAGATGTCAAGCTGTCTGTTGGCAGGCACTGTGTTGAATCTAGTGAAATACAATACAGAAGCCTTAAATTATTTAAATTTATGAGAACCAGGATTTGGCAACTAATTAATTCTTTATTTGTCATGGAAAGAAAATTGTAATAATGACTGGTTGGAGGCGAAAATGTCAGCCAAACTTTGTGGCTTCAGAATGCAAGCGCTCTATCTGACATATTTTGAAAAATGTAATGTATTCACATGTTAGAAATCAATATTATCTGACCTGCAATACATTAACGCAATTTTTAAATCAGTCCTGGAGACAATTTTTTGAACATAATTACAATATTTTACGTGACATTATTAGACATCTTCAACTTACAAAATCCTCTCCTGTAAAATTTATTCAAAGTTAGATAGAATCTTGCCATTCTCAGGCTACAATTTGTTTTGTCATTCGCATCAAAATTGTCGAAACATAAAATGTTCAAAGGCTCTAATCGAGCTTGAATATCTACAGATATTTCAAAATTTTATATCGGCCTTCGAAATATTCTAGAGAACCTAAAGATTCGATTTTATGAAGCTCATATATGTTTTTTTGAAAGACAGAATTCGAAGATTTGAATGTCTTTTCCATGTTTATGACAGAAATCATTTACTTAAAAATTATAGTGGATTCTACAGAAAATGTTTGGAAATGCTTGTATTAAATACCAGTACCCGCTTCTTTAATATACATCTAAATCATCACAGATTTGTCTTTTATTTGGAGCGAGGGATTTGGCAAAAAAATCATTCAGGCTTGGTATTACTTGAATTTGATTTATGGGTGTTCAGTCTCATTTGTTGTGAGAAAATACCACTCGAATGTGGCATAAGGGATTACCGAAGTACTAAGGGGGCCCTATCTACCAAGCGGCCCCTCTTATCGCGTGGGGGGGAAAAGGTCGTATAAATCGGTCTGAGACCTCCCTCCTTCATTGCTCCAAATAAAGCCTCTCCGGGAGGATATTTTTTATTATGATACCAGTTCCTAAGTCTTTCGACCATACCTGGATTGGATGAAATGATTTGATAAAATATGAATGATGATGGGCCAAGAGGAAGACCGGGGGATTGGGAGAATCCTGAAACTTCTGCCCCCTCTCTTTGCCCACCACAAATCTCGCAGACGGTTACCGGGATTTGAATTCCGGTACTCAGAGGTAGCTCTCTATGGGTCGCCCCCTTCCCTCTGAAGAATGGATTTCAACTAACAGGGAAGAAATGACGTGTCTCATCCATCTTTGAGAGAGTTAGAAAGGCCACCTTTGAGGTGCAGCGTGGAGTCGGAGCCGCCGTGGTGCGTGAGGAAGCTCAGGTTGGAGTCCACGCGCAGCATCTCGCCTCGCACGGCCATGTCGTGGCGCAGGACGGTGCTGTTGACGGTGAGGTCGCCGTTGCTGGCGGCGATGGGCGTGTTCACGTCGGCGTCGTCCGTCACCTTCGAGTAGTCCAGCCCGTCGGGCAGGCGGAGGATGGTGGCCGCCATGCGGTTGTCGAAGGCGTTGCTGTGGGCGGAGGCAGACGTCAAACTACTTGCTAATAGACACCGAAGGGCTAACAGGTCTGATGAAGATTGGTTCAAGGCTCCAATGGCAAAGGTAGCTCAGCGCATCCACTAATATCAGTGCAGTGCCTTTGGCCAGCAGGTCCTACGGTTTCTAATCCCGGCGGTAGCAGGAGTTTCGACACTCGCTAGATTGTTGGCAATGACGACTCATATAGTTATTTCATTGGAAATGCCAACTAAAACTCACCACAATACCAATATACTAGCTAGACAGCTACGTCGAATACAATCCCTGTCTGGAGGAGGATTCTAGCGGCCGACTTCTCTGATCGGTAGTTTTCTGTGGTTTCTCCGATCAATACCAGGCGAATGCCGGAGTAGTACCCTAACAAACGAGCCGCGGACCGCGCGCGATCTTTTCTTCCCCTATCTTGTCCTAACCTCACATCTTACACACACACACACACGCGCGCGCGCGCACTCATATGTATTACACTACCTTTCACAGTTGTCGGGAGGTTGGAGCTTATTCCAGCTGGGGCGATGCCACTCTGAAGGGAGATACCTGGTTGAGGGAAATCCCCGCAAGTCGACGTAGATCGTCGCAGAATCTTGCCATACAGCAGGGAAATATCACCATCATCTCCCACTACAAAACATTAACTACTTACGGGACTAATGTCCTTAGCAGTCAACGCTCCCGGAATCATCCAATCATAGTGAATCAATCAAGAATGATTCCGGGAGCATTAACTGTTAACGTCCCGTAAGTGCAGTGCATGTATTTGTCGCGGGAGGTAGGGGTGATGTTCCCCTGCTGAATAGCGAGATCCGGCGCCGACCTACCTGCCGGCTTGCAGGTTTTCCTCAACCAGGAATCTCCCCCAATGGGGCGCCGCCCCAGCCTGGACAAGCACTGAGCCCCCGACTGTTCTTCTGGCTTGTGTGGCTGTGTGGTGCACGTGAGTGTAAGTGTAAGTGTATGTAAGGTGTGAGAATAAGACAAGGAAAAGGAAAGAAAGCTATCAGTGGTCCCTGGTCGAAACAATCTGGGAAAACTATCAATCGGAGCAGCCGGCCGCTAGAATTATTTTTCAGACAGCGTCTGAATTCGACCAAACCGTGCAGCTAGTGTGGAAAATCCTGCCCTTTTCCGTATTGGAGCTCTAGGACCTCCCGGATCGAGGCCCTGCACTGACATCAATTGATGCCTCGAGTCACTTAAGACGGTGCTGCGGACGGAGGAAGATGTTAAACATTAATGGGGTGAGGTGTTAAAGCTACACGCTAATAGACACGGAAGTGCTCATAAGTCTGACAAAGATGAAAGTAGGTGTTATGTGGGGGGTGGGCATCCGGGAACCGTTGACTGATAAAAATGAACTCCATGATCCCCGGGCGTCCCAACGAAGGCCTTAATTTTGTTTGGAGTTGACATTGATTGTTTGATCCATTGTGGAAATTGTACTCGCTTAGAATTACTGTTATGTTTAAATCTGGATATATTTTCATTTTTAGACTATAATATTGATTACTTTTTGTAAAGGTTTGCCTCTAGATGTTTCTTATAAAACAAGTATTGTTACACCATTGGAGAAGGAGGGACTAAAACATACTGTTCAGCACCCTAAAATTGAACCCATAGATGTATATGTGAACATCTCCGAGAAGACATGCAAATATTTATTTTATTAGTATTGCGGTATTATCCTATAAACGGTCTTGCGCCATGAGGCATTGATAAAACTTTACGTTCCAGTTCAGAATAGAGCCTCGATAGTTCAAGTAACATTTCTGGTGATACTACAAAGAGAATTAGAATGATATTCAGGGTATATTTTTCACGGATCCATCGTAAAATAATGTCGTTAATTAAATGGGATCCGTGTGACATCTCTATTATCATCTCTATTGTTTAAATGACAACCAATTGTCCATAAAACGAACGTGGATGGCATTCTGCATGTCAAAATGTGACCAAACATTTAGGATTTCTTATCAAATGAATAATGATTTCTAGCTTAGAATGTAAAACACGTAATTAGTTTCTGAACGTTTCAAAGTCAAACAAGAACATTTCAGGAAGCTGGTGAACTAGAGAACGGAATTTAAAATCCGATGTTAATGTGACCCAAATTTAAATGAATGTATTCAAATTTCTCGTGTCACGTACTGCTTACGTGTCTAGGGTTAACAAATGCTAATTTACTTACTGAAGAGTATAGGATGCGTTTTATAAGTTCGAGCTCAAAGAGTTCAATTTTGTTGGGTCAAAATAAGCAGAGTGAATAAGTATAATAGTGTAGTAAGTGTAGTTGTAATAAGTATTGTAGTAAAATGTTGAATAAGGATTGTTTTAAACCAAACACAAGACATTTATTGTACGAATTTCACTAAACCCTACTACTACGTACTGCATTTGGAGGAGTACATTGAGAAAACAGGACGCGAAAGTTACATTCAATAAAGCGATTTGGATTGCTTTTGAGATGGAAATGAAACATCAGAAATTTTCAACGCGCAATCATTAATGAAATCAACATCAACGAAAGGTTTCGATCTTTTGGCAATCTCGAAAGCAATCTCGATTTTAAGGCGTCATCTTTTTTTCTACTTTAAACGCCATTTTTTAACTATTAAGATAACTCACAGTTGGTAACGGTAGAGGCAACACATATACAGACACACGAACACACTCACACACACACACACACGCCCGCACACACACACACACACACACACACACAAACATCCGTGTTCCGAGCGAGATTCGAAACCGCCTCCCTTCAGGCATGAAGCAGCTACTGCTCTTCAGCCCTAGCGACCTCGTCTATCCAGGCCTGCCGACGTTCCTTTGAATTTTTGCTTTTGTAAACATCGACTGTTGGTTTTGAAGTTAAAAACAATAGTTTGTCCAGTCTAATTTTATCAACGTGACAAAAGTGTTTAGCAAATTGAACGCCAGTGTCGTATTCAACACAGCCCTGTGAGGAGGTTAATTGTCGCAAAGGCGTCGTGGGCCGCCACTCACTGGAGGATGTTGAAGTAAGCGACGAGGTCGTCCGTGTTGCAGGTCCGCCAGTCGCTCTTGTAGCCCATGAGCAGCACGTTGGGCTTGAGCTTGCCGATGCCCGCGGATTGCAGCATGGCTCGCGCGCCGTCCTCGAAGCTCAGCCCGTCCATGACGGTGTAGAAAGCCTTGTACTTGCGGCTCTGCAGCCACTTGTAGCCCGCGCGCACTCGCGCCAGCCGGGATTTGTGAGACAGCCGCGTCTGAAACGACAAGTTGTCCCTTATGTTTTTATGGCCATGTCCTGCCGTGCCCAAAAGAGCTACTTGCTTGCCTAGGAAGAATGGCGCTCCTTCGGGCACTGGCGATTTCCCCTCACTCCACTCTCATTTCCCCTCCAAATCCCTCCACCCAAATCCAATCTCTTGTTTCGAGAGAGGAAAGATAGCAAGTTATTAAGTTAGAAGATAGTGTGAATACGAGTACAGGCGCTATAATTCCAAAAATACTGAGTGCATACGAGTATAAGGGCAATGTACAGCAAGCGTTTTAAAAGGGTTTTAAAAATGTTTTAAATTAATGTACAGAGCAAAATTTCCTACTAGGCCACTACAGCATATATGTCCAAATCTTGGTAAATATAAAACATTTCAATTACATTTTCATAAACATAATTATATGTGTGTTCACAGTGATTAGAGATTGTATTGTTGCAGAGTTTGTTAACCTTTTCTTTTTTCTATGTATCGGAGAACAAGTGCTGAAAAATATGAAACAATGTTTTCCGATTTTCCATGTAATACAACAGTAGTTTTTTCTGTTTTTCTACTTTTCTACAGCTTTTCCTTTTGTGCGATATAGTCGCATTGTTTCTGCTAGTTTATTATTAATATGTTACCACGATTAATTGAATAAACCTTGAAGTGAAGACACATTTCATCATTATCATTTGAAACATCGTGATGATATCAAAGGACATTAAACGTGCATTAAAATTAAATCACTTCCACTTATTTGCATTTGAATATCCCCATCAAAACTATATTATTAGTTTTGTAAAAAGGGCTTAAAACTAAATTGGCTGGTTTTAAAATTTATTGTAATATTATGAATACTAACGATTTCAAAACTGTCGTAACATAATGCTAACATACTAACGAAATAAAAAATTGTCGTAGCATAATAACAGAACAGAACATAATAACAGAATTTTGGAGTGTTACGATCTTTCTAACGACTAAGGGTATCTCGGTAACTGAAAGGTTATGACGTTCCCCTGGACCCAACGCTTCCCCTGGAAACACGCACCGGCAGCAGGTCTCCGCAGACGCAGAGCGCCGTGTGCTTGGTGATGAGATTGGCCAGCCCCATCAGCGGCGGCCGCGCCGACGGCTTGCCCGACAGCACCAGCAGCTGCGGGCGGTAGTTCTTGGCGTGCTCTCCGATATTGGAGAGCCGGTAGGCCGTCGTCAGGGCTGTTTTGTACGTCTGCGCTTGCGTCGAGGAACCCCAGTTTACGTCTGAAAGGAAAGAGGATGATTGAAAATCTGATGAGAAGATGGATAAAATTCAACGCATGAGAGACATTGCTTTGCATTAGGATTATCTTCGACGAAACTGTATGGATATCCACTTAATTCACAATGATTGTTCACTAAAAGGCTCTTTACCAATATCGAAGAAGAAATACTTTTTTTCCAGAATTTAAACTGCATAATATACTTAATTTTTTGCGAGTCAATTATTGGAACAAGTCAGTTTTATTAATGGCGTGTATACTTACGTCATTCTAGAGTCTAAACTATGCGAACTAATGGAAGGTTTTATTTATTTTTAATTTTTGTTGTTATTTAAGGTCGCATCAACATCTAGGTTAATAGAGACCATTGCATTTAACGGTATGGTAACTGTGAAGATATCATGATGTGGTGATGATAGGGGTGAAAGGATGAACACAAATACAACTATGCCCGAGGCGGGACTTGAAACCGCGATCCTTCGCTCCGACATCGCTGCAGCACTACTGCCGCAACACTCTCGGCCACCGGATGCAATGAAAAACGTCGTAATAAATATTAATTGATTTAAACTTTTATAATGAGCAATTCTAGTACGTACATTCCAAACTGTTAAACTGATTTTTTTAATAAATAATGAATTGTAATTCTTATAAAGAAAATGTAGTTAATTATCATAAATTTATGTAGTGGCTCTAGACTACAGCTGTTAACGGAACTCAGAATAAACGAAAAACAAATTATAGTATTTAACCTAAAGATCACGCTTAGATTAAACTGTGGATGATACCAGGTGTCTCTAAAGCAGTTGACACTCCGACGCATCTCGTCAGAGCTTTAAATCAATATTTCTTTTTACTACTAGTATAGTTCCACGTACCTGGTCTCCTGTAGACGACGATCAGGTACAGTGCGAAGATGATAATGAAGGTTATTAGGGACGTTACCCAATCAATCAAGAACATGATTGAGACGCATAGAACGAAGCCGACCAGGCTCAGCCAGACGTTGTAGTACTGGAAGAAACAAGCGATGAACCATGAAATACAATGATAATGCTAGGAAGATGCGCGATATATATTTGATGTATCACAGACCAAAATATAAAAATGTAATTTGTAAACATATTATTTTAATAGACTTATGTGTGGTGTACATTCAGGTAGTTTAAAGTGTAGGTTATTAAGAAATTGTTCAAAGTGTATTGAAATAAAATGCTAATATTTACATAAATTATTAATACATTTTAATTAGTGCTTCACATATATATTAAATGCGTACAATCTGGAAAAATGAAATAGTATTTTTTAATATCATGAAAAAATATAGTTTTAATGACCTTAAATGAAAAAAGAAGGAGTAATGTCGCAAGCAAACATGAGTGTTTTTTTTAAATATTAAACATGCTTTAAGATTCTTGAAGAAATATTCTATTCTGGAACCCTGAAAGTCGTCAATTTATTGGCTAATGAAATCAGGAAGAAAAGGTTTTTTACGTGTGTGCAAATCATATGTTCAAAAAACCTAAATACGAATACATTCACTCACTTTGAATGTTGGTCGCCATCCTAGCGGTTTGATGAGGGCTGCATGAAAGGTACAGAAGTTGATGAGGGCGTATGAGGCCAAATAGAAGTTAGAAATCAAGGGCGCAATCACGTTTAGCTGAGCTGAAAAAAAAAAGAATTTTATTGAAACATGGAGATTTCAGTTTGCCCTGAGAGAAACGCAGGTGACTTTGTGTCAACGCGCCGTTTAGAAACCTTTCGCCTTAAACTATATCTCTTCCAGAGGCATTGGTGGAAACATAATGCACTTGATGAGTGGTGATATAGATTACGCCATTTAGGAATTGCAGCCTCATTACTGTGTTCCCCGCTTTTATAGTTCTTAATTTTGCATCAATTGACGTAGTCCTCATGTACTTCAGAAAATTTGTGTTGCAACTCAGAGTACAGTAACTTTAACGAGAATGAAGTAAGTGCACTGTTTTACAGCATTATTCATTATTCTAGTACTATAGAATATACTTTATGACTTCCTTACTTTTTTTGTATTTGAGAGAGAAATAAACTGATAGAAAATGAAGGGGCGACTTTGTGTCTTCAATATTCAATCCGAAATTTTCAAGTTTTTTACCCTTCTCTTTAAATTAGTTATATTATATACGTAGTTTCTTGTAAAAATGGAAAATTGTATGATTACGATTAATACAGTGATGATTATCCCTATAATAACACTCACAATTTATTATCTTCTCAATTCTTAACAGGAGAATTTGTAACGGTGCAATATGAAGGAGAGTTGTTGCCTGGAGAAATCACTGCCATTGGAAGTGATTCGGCACGGGTAAATGTCTTGCAGAAATCCAAGGGGTTTCGGAAAGGGCAACAGAATAGGGATGTTTTTTTACAAATACGAAGATATATTCCAAAAAATTCAAACTATAAATTAAAATCAAAAAGAGGACTCTTTGCTATTCCAAAGCTAAAAAGCATTTGGGGGAAAAGTTATCTTCATGAATGTCAAAACTGAATAACTTAAAAAAAATGAAGTGTTTAATTTTGTGATACTGTTTAATTCATTTCTTGATACAAAGCAATCATGAAGAAGGGGTGAAACTGGGTGATTGGCTGGGATGATTCTGGATCATCATAATGAAATGGGACACATCCATGTTCGATCTACCCGCCCTCTCATAACCTCACAAATGAAACGGCGGAAAGACCATCCCGGCCTGATGCGCGTGCCGATGACGCAATCGGTACCAACAGAATGATCCCAGAAGATCTTACCTGCCGCCCTTTTGCAAAAAGTGGTAGGTGGGAATCGTCCCGACGCAGCCTTGACGGCCTAGCGAATTTTTTTAAAAAAAAAGTTCCCGTCCGTCCGGGCTCAACTCACCGATGAGCAGGAAGCCGGCGGAGACGAGGAAGGTGATGACGTAGCCGCGGTAGGGCTCGCCGCTCTTGCCGTAGCCCTTGGAGAAGAAGATGAGCCCGGGGTAGATGCGGTCGATGCCCAGCGCCTGGATGATGCGCGGCACGGACAGCAGGTTGGTGAGCGCGGTGGAGAGCGTGGCGGCGAAACAGCCGGCGTAGATGAACGGGCCCCACAGCGACATCAGCTGCATCACCTGCTCCGCGCCCACCCGCGCACGCACACTCGCCTTTACACTCGTGCAAGTGTCATACCGTACGAGTTACCCTCTAAAAACTTCCACCGGGAATATTCGCTCAACAATTAAAGATTCACACGTGGAAAGTTCAACAAACGATTTACGACTTACGGAATCATCAGTTGTTTTTGTTGCTGCTTTTTAAGAGCATTTTGTATTTTAGATATTTCATATTGCGTTTTTAGTGGGACATTATATTCTTATAGGACATTTTAAGAAGGCAAAGATCTGCAATACTAGACATGTTGGTATTTAATAAATAATAATAAATAGAAGGTCAAATGTCAAGCTAATAATTATGTTGTGAACATATTATGTAGAAATTTTCAACGTGTCTTCTCAAGACCTTTCTGTTAGTCTATAAAAAGGATAGCGTTCCATTCAAAAAAAGCTATTCTATCTTTATACATCTTTAAAAAATCTATTAAATACAACTGATGAGTCCCTATGTCTTGAATTGTTGTCTTAAAAATCCATCTCAATATCTGGAACCGTTTACGGAATATTCGAGGTGGAAATTTTTATTGAGTCTTTATAAAGAATTAAGCACATAGCATTGTGCTGTTCACAATATACCTAAAGGGGAGGTTGATGATTCATTTTAAAGTTTTGGGGCTGGTAAATTTTCAAGTGGGTCCCCGTCTCTTACAATCTAGTGGGGAATGCAGGAGGCTTCGTAATATTTGGTATCGACCTTGCAGCTCCAGACCACCTGGAGAGGTGTTTGAAGGCTCATTTGAATGATGGCGAATGGTTTTATTTCCTCACAGAATGTCCACCTTGATATTTTTTAATTGGCGTAAAAATATTTATGTAATTCCTCTTTTTCTTAAAACTTACAGTTACACGCTCAGTTGACGCTGGCAAAATCTTATCGAATGAATCTCATTCCCTGAGTTACAAATGGCTTAGAAAAAGCTGCTAATGTGTGGATGTAGAATATAAAAGAACAAAAAATGTTTTCAATGTTCAGAAACACGCTTTTATGTTTCAAAAAATTTGCAACATTTAGTAAAGAGTGCTCAACTTCAAACTTGAGTGGATTCCTCAACGTCTAACATTGGTTGACCAGTTACACTCAAAATAATTTTAGAGAGAGAGGGAGATACCATTTTACGTGCCTTTCATTTCAGAGGAAGTCTAGAGTTTATCATATCGATTTTTAATATGCTAACATTCTTTTAAGTCACTATCTTAATGTCACCATTGTATTAGTATGTTAGATAATCTCAGAGACAGTTTTGGGATTGGTAAAACCTCTGTGATCTCCTGAGCTCGAACTATTTGGCAATTTAAATGTTACATTAAGCCTTGCATTGTTTGAAACTGGTATAATCTGGGATTTCTCCGCAGAATAAATGCCGCTGATTGAAAACGGATGTGTCTGTCAAGAAAGCCGGAGAATTTTCATGTTTATTCTGTAAAGAATTATAATCTGTTGCAAGAAATGCTCATGAACAGATCGCAAATATGCAAATTTATTTATTTTTTTTTCAGAGAAAATAAACACAAATTAAATATATCACATCGTCTATTAGCTCACCTCTTGTATTCGACTTTTCATCAATCATTGACGCTCTGAGTAATAACCTTACTAAGAATAAGCGTTTTCGCCGTGTTCTCTGTGCATTTTCGCTAAAGTAAATCTTGAGCAGAAAGACGCGGAGTGGGCACTGACCGAGTAGCTGTTCATGAGGCCGTAGTCGCAGGGGCGGCCCGAGCAGTCGGAGAAGGCGCCGCTGGCCAGCTCGGTGACGTTGCCGCTGGCGTCGCGCAAGGCCGCGCCGCCCGCGAACACCACGAACACGGCGTACGACACCATCGACAGCAGCAGCGCCAGCAGCGTGCCCTTGGGGATGGCGGCGGCCGGGTCCTGCGCAGGAACGGGCGCCGGTTTAACAAGGCCTGCGCTCAGCCTAAGCGACCATCCACCACCCCGATGAACCGTGTAGACACGTAAGTGGGCTCATGGACGCGAGATCGATGTTCTCTCCTGGCATCTTAAGGGAAGCTATCTATGCCTAGGGCGTGATTCGGACCCTCTACTCTTCAAACACAGACGTCTGATCGGAATGAACTATCGGCATTCTAGGACAGTCATTCGGATATCTACACTATTCATCGTTAAAAATTGTCACAAAGTGTCCTTCTTCAGAAGCAACGAATAATGACAATAACAATAATTGTAAAAATAATTTATAATAAACAGAAAAGCAAGTAGTAGTGTTTGAGGAAGCGTTAACCTACATTTACTACCCAGAAGCAAACAATAGTAAACAAAATAATTAAAGACGTTGTCATTGCCAACAATATTATTTAATGTAAGAGCAGCTTTCAATGGCTTAGCCATCATCATCAGTTGTCTGCTGGATGGAAGCCACTAAACGACTACAATCCTTTCCAGCCAGCAGACAACTGATGATGATGGCTAAGCCATTGAAAGCTGCTCTTACATTAAATAATATTGTTGGCAATGACAACGTCTTTAATTATTTCATGAAAAATGCCAAAGATATCACAACACAACACCTATAATAGTAAAGAAACTCTTGCATTTATTAATTGTAACTGATGTACCTACATAGTGCACAATAAAAAGGAAACAGATGTAATCACAAAGCGAATGAAGATTGACACTTTCTTTCATGTATTTTCCATTATTTCAGCAGACTATATATATAGTCTGCTGAACATTTTGTATATTGAAATGAGAAATGCGTTCAGTTTGTGTTGTGTGGTAGACATTAAATTCGGAGTATAAAGTGACTGAAAACTCACCTTGAGATCTCCAGAAATGTTGGCTCCAGCTTGTATCCCCGTCACTGACGGGAAGAAAATAGCGAAAACCGAGAAGAAAGTTTGATCCACGTTCTCGCTAAATCGATAGCTCGGTCCCCAATTGTTGCGCAAGACTTCCACTGCAAAAGAAAGCACGCACGTGACACTAAGGCCCAGCGACAGTTTATTTGCGCCCTATGTAATATAAGATATCTGGCTCATGCAATCAATTGATGTAAGTGCGGTGCCTCTGACCGCGATGTCCTACGTCGCAACTGTAGCAGGATTTTCAACACGGTCGAGTTCAGACGCTGTCTGAGAGAGAATTCTTGCGACCGGCTGCTCTGATAGGTACTTTTAGGTAATTTCTCCGACCAATACCAGGCGAATACCGGAGCAATATCCTAACGAACGAGACACAGACCGCGCGCGATTTATCCTTACTCTTTCTTGTTCTATCCTCACCCATTTCACACACACTCCCTTACACTAACATGCACTACACTACCACAAATGCCTGGAGACCGGTCGTGATGTTGCTGGAAGAAGTTTAAAACAGACTCAGATGACACTTTCTAATTCGCTCTGAATTATTCCAAGTCCTCTCAATGTGCATGCTCAGTTTCTTTTATTTAGTTGTCAAATAAAATAATATGTTGTGGAAGGAAAATAATTTTAATATAAAATATATTACGTTCCGACGAACAATTTTGGTCAATTTTGTAGGTATTTATGGCTTAATAGATTTCCCGAAATTCTGCAAATTTTCATTTCTACAATTCCCCTACTATAGATTAATTACTGATGAATAAATATTAGCAACTGCAATAGGCTAAATTATGTCTGTCGAAACAATTCCAAGCGAGAAATGTCTGACTGTTATGCCTAATACAACTTTTTATTATTTTATATACTTATATTACATCTTAAGCTATTGCAGATCTTCATCATTTTTAACCTTACAAAATAATGTCATACATCTACTCCGGTTTTGATAGCACTTTAACATGATTTTCCTTCATATCTTACGAAATGTAAAAATACAATACATACAAATGTTGAGAAGAATACACTAAATTCGCACGTAAGCTTCCGCGGCTCAATTCCATAAATTCTTGGCTATCCGGGAGACGCCGCGTCGTTGGCTGAAAGGTCGACATGTCGCAGGCTTCCTCAGGGCAGTGAGATTGTCGCTGCCCTGAGGAAGCCAGCGACATGTCAGGCGAAACTCAGCGAACGACGCACCGTCTCCCGGATATCCAGGAATTTATACACTAAAAGCGTTATGCATGGCGCATATTGCGATAACAATTATTCCACAGATGGTGTTATTTTTGGATTCCAAATCTCACCAACTTTGTCTCGCAACAATTTTTTTCTGATTGTCTTCGCAACTGGCTGTCTTCGCTTCGCTAACTATAATCTCATACACTCACTCCTTTAGTCAACCAACGAAACGACGACTGCTTCCGTCGACGATCTCAACAAAACGAAATAATGTACAAATGACAAGGTTGATGAAACAGTTGGTTCTAAGATTTGTAATTCGTTTCTAGTTCGTTTATGTTCGTATTCGTTTCTAATTCGTAATATTATGGTATTTCAAAATTTTGTTTTTAAATTTCTAAAAGAAAACATTTAGTGTTTTAAAAAGATAGTTGTTAATTTTCCCCTCTGAACTATAATTGTCTTGCATTCTGTTTTCTTTTTGGTGGACTTAGATGTGTATGTTTGGGATCATATCTAGGTCATTCGAAACCGTGTCAAAATTAAAATGCAAGTATATCTTATCAAATTGTTGAGGAGAGGTTGAATGAATTTGATTAAGGTCATGTTTTCGCGAGCAACACGATTCTTGAATTAAAATGTTCGTGAAAGTTATCATTGACCTCGTACTATTCCTAGTGAGAACCAGAAATATCTGAATGTTACGTATCAAGCATTGCATCATTCATATTTACATAGATTTCCACTCACGTAATGTAAGAAAACAAAATTATTAAAAAATAGACTCCCCTTGTTTTGCTTCTGGACATAAATGTAACTTCAAATTAACGTCTCCCCTTAGCACGCCATACACAGTTTTTAACTGTTTTTGACGTAAATAAATAAATAAATTTAAATGAAACAGTAGAGCATCATACTTCATCAGTTCCTCAGTGAAAATTCTAATTATTTTCCTAATTGATAATTTTTAATTTCATCTTATCACTATTTAAATTTCAGAAGTATCTTATACAAATGTTAATTTGAGAAAGTCATCTGCATTACTATGCTTGCTAACCCAATTGTTTCTAGATGCGGCGTAGAGAATGAACATATAAACAGGGTGAAGAAAATGATATGCTAAAAAATATTAACCTAATAAAATTTCCAAGATTTTTGGACGTTGACACGTCCTGTCGTTCAGTTAACAACTTTTACTACCTAATGTGGATTTGTAGACGCCTGAATTTTTGCATAGATACCTAGATATATACCATTTTTATGCACAACTTATCTTGAGTTGTGGTAAAACGTTGCATAATTTTGCATTATTTCAGGATTTAATTTAATGATTGAGTTAATTCCCAATTAATGTTAACTTACTATTCAAAAGGTAATGTACCTATTATTATACTTAAGTGCATTGTATTATTTGTTTAAAATTTTAGAATATTCTGAACATCTTACCATCAAATCCGACAAAACCTTTTGCTTTTTCATCATCAGTATTCGGTCCTACAATGGTTCCAGCGATGAAATCCACAATGGCACCCATGATGATGGCGATCAAGAAGTTCTGGGCCTACAAAAAATGAAATCATTACGTACTATTGAATGATGCTAAATACAGTACATTTAGGAATTGCGAATACTTAAACCCATTAAATTATCTTGAAAATTCATTTAGTGATGAGTATCACAAAATAGCTTGAGAAATGGATCGAATTACTCACAAATCTATCAGGGACATGTTCAAGTCGAGTAAGAGAAGAGAATTAGTAACTTTGGCAAACAAGTCACATTATTTGTTTCATAGGCAATGGGCGGGCCGATGTATGAATAGTGAAATAGATGACATTCACGCTGCAAAAGGTGTTCCTTGTAGAGGTAATTGGTGTACCGATATTTTCTGACCGTACAAGAAAGCAATGGAATTGGCAAGTCTCCCTCTTCCCCCAAAATTACTTTATGTGCCTTTTTCACTGAGGTTACATCAATTTTCGGACTGAGGAGATCACACATATATATTGTTTATATTAGTAGCATCTCTGTAACGGTGTATCAAGAATCAAAAGATTATTATTATTGTTATTATTATTTCTATTATTATTGTTGTTAATAATAATAACAACATGGTATCTATGTATATACCGATTGAAAATAGTTCTAAATGTGCACCTATTGAAGGAAATTTGTGAGGGTTCGGAGGTAAAAACCTCAGTGGTAGAGTTTGATCCTGAAGTTAACCCTCTGTCAAAGAGCGTTAATTTACGAGAACAGGGAATCCAGCATTCGCACTACATACATTGACAATGATTTTTTGCCATGAAAACTCAAATGTTTCATATATACCGCTTTAATCAGTTATTACACAACGAAACTCCTAATGAATGGATGCTGATTATACTTCGATCAACTGACAATAAAGCTTCAACCCCATATACGTTGTATAGCCGACTGTTTAATAACAATTAGATATCTATTGCGTCATCATACGTAATGCATTTACGCTTCCTCTCAGTTGCCTCTGCCTAGTAGCTTAAAATGCCCAAGGCAATGCAATGATGCATATTTTCTAATGGGAGTGAACTAGTTGGAAGAGTTTCAACGCCGTATAAATTAAATTGCTCTTCCAGAAAAAAAAGAAAAAAATCGGTTCGATATTCTTTCAATAAATTTCAAGTACTCGTACCTAGGCCCACAGACGCAAAAGTGGCTCTGCGAGCGTTACCTTCGACTCCCACTCCATGCCGACGGCGCAGATTAGCACCATGACGAGGAGGGCAATCACTCCCACGATGCGCACGTCGTTGACGTCGCCGTCGACGATCTGCAGCCCTTGCGACTTGAGCAGGTCGTTGAGGGAGTTGCAGAAGCCGATGGTGTTCATGGAGGCTGCCACCGCGTTGGCAAATGCGAACACGAGGCCGATGGACGCTCCAAACTCAGGGCCCAGAGATCGAGAAATGATGTAGTAGATACCACCTTTGGGGGAAAAGTGAAACAGTTCAATTGGAGAGGTGTGTGCCAAGAATAATTTCTTAATCCTTTCTCTGCGAAGGATACTCACAGTTGCCAATTTTGCAATCGGGATCCTTTAGCTACTGTTATTCCTAGACGGTTTGCACTATAAATTCTTTTACTTTAGTTGAGCAAATTATAATTTTCTTATGTTAAAACTGTCAAGATTAAAAAAGAAATCAGATTAGGGCCTTACTATGTACTAATAGGAGTGAAAGTGTACTTCGGCGTGAAAGAGTAATGGCGCACTTCGCGAAAAATAACATATTTTTATAATCTTGTTTTTATTTATTGGTATATTAACGAAGTGAACTCTGTATCGACTTCACAACCTTAATATAGAAAGGATAAAGAAGAAGGTCCAAGCTGCATTTTAGCGTACCTCCTTTCACTTCGCCGTTGGTGCTGATCGCAGACATGGAGAGCGTGGTGAGGACGCACACGACAGCAGAGACAGCGATGATGATAAGCGTTTGCGCTGGGAAAAGCAGAATTCGATATATCAATAGCTAGAACATTCTGTGAAACTTCTCGACCCCTCCGTTTTATTTCCAATGCTATGAAAATAAATTAAAACTTTTATCTTAGGCAATTTATTTATGTGCTAATGATAAATAACACTTAGTTCACATAATTGGTGCAAATAAAAAATTTGAAGCGCAACAGCATAGCACATAACATACAATGTAGGCTTTCGCGGCGGGTTTCTACAGAATAGATGTTTCCGGGTTTGTAGGCCGTGGTCCAACGTTGACCTGTCTCCGTTGGACCACGGCCTACAAACCCGGAAACATTCTAATTAAGCATAGCAAATGTTTTCTCGTAAAACTTGCTATGGTTAGGTAAAAATATTATATTCATTTTATGGTAAGAGCACAAAAGTGATACAAATGTTTAGGAAAAAATAAATAATAATAAATGTAGATGTTGTTATTTTTTAAGATTGTTGACGTGAGATAAACAAAATTTGATGGCCAATGGTAAAGCCAAAGCATTTAGTTATTTTTTTATTTATTTAATAGGTAATTATTACAGAGAAAATTAGTTAACTTGATCCTATGTGGCTAGGCCGAAGGCCTTTAAGCCATTACAATACCTAGAAAGCATTTAGTTAGATGGGAGAGAGTCTTGTGATGGACGCCAAGGGTGAAGTGATGCCCCGACCACTGCTGAAAGTGAATGGTGCCTGATGGAGATGGTCGTGAGGGCGGACATTAGGATCGAGAACTACGAGTATGTACTTTGCAGAGCTGACTGAAAGAAGAGTAAAAACTCGGGCAATGTCCAAAAAAATAAACCATTCCAAATTATGAGCCTCGCAAATCCACCCAGGACACAAATTCCCATCATCGCCCCAAACGAACACAATTCCAAACTTCAACCATATTTCAAACTTCCAAAACCAATCCAAAAAACGTCACTCAAAATTCCCATCACACCTCCCCACCAGTCAGAAAAGCCTCACGCCAACAACCTGATAATTAATACAATAATAAATGCTATCACCTCATGCACTATCAATTTCATCAGTTCATTAATTCCATCTATATTCAGCACCATTCAAAACTCCATTACCGAGTACCTTAACTAATATCAATTGCAGATAAACCCAACAAGAATTTAATCTGTTTAAATTAGAAATTCAATGGCATCAACAATAAAAAGGTAGAATTACTTCATTTCTATATCACTTCAAAGTAGATATCGCTTGCATAGTTGAAAGGCACCTAAATAAAAAAAAAGAACAAATTATTCATCTCAAATTACACTGTTTACAGACCCAAAGCCAAAGGTGGAGGCGTACGAACTGCGGTAAAATCATGCTATAATCACTACCACTCAACTCTCGAGGCATTGAAGCCATCGCAATTAACAAACAATTATGGAAAATAATATCAGCATATTTGCCAAAATCGAATACGCGAAATTAAAAAAAATCTTTGAACTCGGAACGGCAAAATGTTTTTTGCTAGGTGACCTAAAAGACAAATATACACGCTGGGGCTGCCAAACCAATAACCACGACAAAATATTAGCCAACTTAATAAAGCAATCTAATTTAAAAACGCTCGTGGCACAGAGCGAAGTCTCTTGCTTTTCATCACTGAGGTCCAGATTCGATTCCCGGACAATCTCTTGTGAAACAAAAGAAGTTAGCCTGCTTCAATGGGGCTGGCCCAACACCTGTCAAGTGTCGCTACCCTATCCCAATTCCTTCTCAATTGTGGCCGCTGGATATTGACGCAGGAGCTGTGAGCGTACGCGGAGATGCTACCTGGCGGTCCTCTTGGCAATGATACGACTTACGGTACTTAAAGTAATAGTATAATTAGTGTAGGATAACTCCATAAAAATAATTAACGGGGATTATTCCGGAAATGCATTCTTTGTCAAGTTCTTGGCATAAAGTGATATACTTGCATATACAAACTAACCAACAGGAACCCGATCGCATTCGAAGGAGAAGTGCAAGGGCCGTTTTCTTTACGACAGTTGTGACGGACTAGGGATGCGGCATCGATGTTCAGGTTTTAAAACATCGATGTTTTAAACATCAATGTATTAATATCGATGTTTTTATCATCGTTTTTAATGATCGATGTTTTTTCTCTTGTGTTTTGTGATCGATGTTTTTTTGGGTTTTGTATTTGTTTTACTTTTGTGTTTGTTTCTTCGATGTTTTGTTTCTGAATGAAAAATTCCCAAGATCACAATTATGTAAAAGTTAAAATATGAAATAACTGATAGTAACACTTATTCATCGAACCAAAGGAATGCTGGTTGCACTACCTATACCAATCAAACTCTCTAGCCTGTGATGACCTCTACGTCATTGTCTTTCTTCATTGGGAAATGCTCATTGAGGAATGGACAACAACTACGCTGTGGGTACAGGGCATCTTCTATTCGTGCCCTTATTCGGCGAATTGATAAACACGAACAGTCAAATTAGATTTTATTGCACACGAATTTAATGTTAGATGATACTAATCGAGTCTAAAAACATTGTCGTTGAAAAATATCGATTTTTGTCGATGTATTTTGAGCATTGATGTTTTAATTTTGAACATCGATGTTTGCTACCATGGGTGTTTTCTTATCGACGTCGCATCGCTGGGGTGGACTGGGCGAAGGTCGCCAACTGCGGGTTGGAAGCGGTGGATTCGGCGGCCTGCGCGCGCGGGAAAGAAGCAGCGAGGGGTGGCTTTGGGAGGGAGGGGCCGGACTCTTTAGGGGGTGAGAGAAGGAGCTGAGGTGTGCGAGGAGACAGTGCTCGGAGTCGTGCAGAGTTGGTGGTCCGAGTCATTCGGCCTACGGTCAGCCAGTGCTGTGCACGTGCCGAGTACGGCAGCAGACATGCAGTGAGGTGACAAGTAATGAGGTGAAGTTTCGAGGAAATTAACTCTGCGAGTGCTTATCGACTGAAGGAGCTGCGAATGACGGGCTGCGTTTTTTCTTCTTCTTCATGGACGTGACCTGGATGGAGGCTGCAAGCGGACTCAGCGGGAGAGGTGGACATCGGCAAAAAAGATAGTAAGTTAACGTGCGAAATTTCACATAAAGACCTTGAACGAACACAAAAGACTAGACTTCAGGGTGGGCGAATGTGGATTGTATAGGACAAGGGTATGTTTATGATCACGCTTTATATAAGGCTTTTCTGGACAAATACATTTTCTTCTTATCATTTTCTTTTTTTCGGGGGGTAGGGAAGCTTATTTATTCAGAAAACTTACATGAGACCTCTGGTACTGTACGCCTGCCCAATATGGATTAATGCCTCCAAAACCAATATAAATAAAATTCAAGTAATAAATAATTAAAGTTTCTTAGAACATAGCCAGTGCCGCATGGTTCGCTTCCAACCTCCAACTCCACAAAGAGTTTAACCTTGAACCGCTATCTATCTATATCTAACCTCAAACTTTTACTCCAACCTAAATCAAATTCCTTCTCTGCTGCCGTTTAGACTCGGAAAAAATCTATCCATCAGATCAGAATTAAAAACAAATTACCCTGTCATTCATTCCTTATCACATTCGCTGAATTGGAACTTGATTAGAGGACACATTTGGGAATTCTCTTCCGTTTCAATAGTTGTCAGTTAATTATAAGTTAGTTAATAAGCGATCAATACAAATGTAAAGTTATTTTTTAACTATTCTACGTACCAATCCTTAAATACCAATAAAAATATCAATCGAAAAGAAGAAAACAACAAAGGAGTTCCTACAGAAGTAACGAGGACCAAATCTGATGTTTATAAAAGGGATCGTTAAGTAATTGGAAGGGAAGTGAAAAAGCTAGTTAAGTGTGGAATTCTTAAACGTATTGTGTGATGCCTGACGAGCAACGTGGTGGAAGGAGCTGACGTGGAGTTGGGATGACGAGATGCATTTCGGCGCCACGACTCCTCAGCTGCACCAAAGGATGAGTACAAAATGAACTGGAAATGCGTTATGATTTCAAAAGCCATGTTCCAGAACTTGCGAGAAAAAAGTAAGAATTCAATAAAATATCTGTACAAGATATTATTGTGTTATGACTATCTTTACACGCACGTAAATATTTGTTTAAAACGGTTATCTTTGTATAAGTGAATTTGTGTTATGGGGAATTATGGATTGTTAATGAATTTTGAGATGAATATAATACGTCACAGTGGTAATGTTCACAAACAAAATCATTGCCATGGTAATCCTTTCACACAACTAACAATAAATTCAAGTTTCTGATGAACTTTTTTAAATTTGGAAAAGGAAAAAAAGAAAATGAGTATCTTAACACTAGGAATAACTTTTGAAAGGAACTTTAATGAAAGAAAAATAGTTTGAGATTGAATAAATGTTAAATTTTCATTTCCAATACTACATATTTTTAATCAGTGCAAAGCTGTAAGCCATATGACGTGCTTTTCACACAGTTGTATTTGCTTTGTTGTAAATGTAAATGGTGGCATTTCTAGGTTGGGTGTATAATAAGGCATGGAAGTAAATCCCGCAGGCGACGGAAATCACTTATTTTTCAACAACAATCGTTGCTCAAAGTGATTGAAACCCGGGACTTCGCCAATGTTGATATCGAAACCGTCGATAAATGGTTTGATACAATAAAAATATTTTTTTACCTAAAAGCATTTAATTATCGGGCATCTTCCATAAAATCGAAATGATAGTTTCACAATTACATAGAGCATAATTTTTTTTAAGCTTCAAAATTTTAGGTGAAAATGGCATTCATGTTACGTGTCATATACTGTGCTGCGTTCCACCTAGTCAAAAAATGAAAGATAAAAATTAAGCCCTTTTTGAGAAAATTCTGTTTACGAAATTTTAAAAATAGTCAAAATAAAATTGAAAAGTCCGTAAACGCGTGCTGAAAATGTAAAAAGCCCCTAAATCACTCTTCGTAAAAACGCGGCATAGTTGAAGAAGCGTTCCGGTAGCGTTGGCTGTGTGCGTCGACTCACCGATGCCGGACTGCGCCACAACCCAGGAGAGGCGCAGGAAGAGCATGACGCCCCAGATGTTGAGCAGGCACGGGATGAGCACGCCCTGGATCCAGCCCAGCTTGATGCCGTGGCCCCCGCCCACGTCGGCGGCCTCGTGCTGCTGCTCCAGGTCCGCATCCTACGCACGGAAAACGACCCCTTTCGTGAAGGACATTCATCACAAGGTAGATGCAAATATTGGACACGTGTTAGGTCTCTTGCTATAATATTGAAATAGAAGACATTGTATTACGTATTTCGGTTCGCCTAATTAAAAGTGTGTAAATATAATACATTTACAATTGCTTTCAATTATATTCGATAGTGATTTATAATATTAAGAGTTATACCCTGATCAAGCAAGGTGTAGGGCTTATCGGTGCATCTCAAAACTAACAACGCTGACTTACATATGTGAATACCTAACAAAATTGATCAAGCCACGTATTAAGCTCGAACAATATGTTAACTGAAATCAACATATGTTAAATCTAAGTATTACACCCATATCTTTACCCTTTATTTAGTAAAAACTATGTATTTACTATTGTTAAATCAATGTACCAGTTTTGAGTCGCTAATAACCTCAGATGTCAATGCAACTATAAATAAATTGGAAAAAAACGGTGAGAGTTTCGTCACGCAGTAAAGTCTGGTGCATTCAAATTCCTGATCGAAACTAATACAACAGTTTCGCATGACAGAGTAATGCTAATTAGTCAGACAAATGAGTTCAGATAATTTTACACATAGATATTTCATTAATCACACAGAAAGCACTTAATTTATCACATATTGATGATTTGAAACATCTTAATTACGTTGTCGTATTTTATGGGAATCTCGAAGATAAGAAATTCCTGGAGGTTTTTCATTAAATCTAATATCGTCATATACTCATGCTGTACATTTTGATGTGTAGCATGACTGAAATATATGGTTTCATTTCTGAACACAAAATACTTTTATTCTTCATATCGTTATCAATATTAATATTAATAAAATTATCGAACGCTTAACTGAAGAAGGCTTAATAAAATGAGGATTCATAACATCCTCTAAACCCGACGCATATCTATAAGGGTAAAAAAATAAAACAAATCATTATATAATATATACACGGTGTATCCGGTTTCGTTCCTCTTTTGTTTTGGTCATACGGTCCATTGATTGATTGAGGCCGGGCGCGTCAAAAGCTAAGGTCGTTAGTCCCGTGCGTGTAGTGCATGTTTTATCGCGAGACGTGGCAGAGATTTCCCCCCGCTGGCAGGCGAGATACGGAGCCGACCACCCCTCGCCCGTCGGTTTGCGATTTTCCCCCAATCCGTAGAGACACAAGTTGATCGTTTTCCGTAGAGAACACCTTAGGGACACGTTTTCACGATAGATGACAGCTGAGTATGTGGCAAGTCCGAATAGCTAGTCGAGACGAAAGGAAATAGAAAACTAGTACGGGAAAGCAATAATAGTTATATTTGTCCTGGATTAGTATGCTTTTATATATCTGTCCTCTCTACTTAAATAAAAAAATATAATTACAATTTAAATATCCTTTTTCTCTTATCATCCACCTTCGTAGAAAAATACAGCGACAACACAAAATTAGTAACTTTTTTGCCAAGTAAGGCAAAATACAATTTTCTAAGAGAAATTTAAAAAGTTTCCCGAAAAGTCATGTCTCTACCACTCAGGTATCTCCTAATCCCAGGGCACCGCCTTCGACGGAACAAGCTGTTCCCGACATGTGTGCTAGTGTAATGCATGTACGTAGTCCAAGTAAGTAGTATAATCCATGTATTTACTGTTTTTTTCATTGAATAAATCTAAATCCATGTAAGTGTAAGTGTGTGTAAGAGGTGAGGACAAGAAAGAGGAAGGAAATGTCGCGCGCGGTCCGTGGCGCGTTTGTTAGGGCAATTCTCTGGCATTCGCCTGGTGTTAATCGACGAAGCCACAGAAAACTACCTATCCGAGCAGCCGGCCGCTAGAATTATTCTCCCGACAGTGACTGAATTCGATCTAGCTATACAAGTACTTGAATACCTTGCGTGGAAAATACTATTGCACTGCAGTGACAACAGTTGATGCCCTGAGCCGTCTTTGACGGTCGCATGCTTCAACAAATTGCAATAGGGTGATGTTAATTCACGACCTTCAGGTTAAGGATAAGTTCGTGATATGTGTACTTCACCCACCTGTCGGGTGCCGATAACAGCTTATCGTTCGTCTTGTTATATTGTCTGTGTGGACATTTAGTTCTTCCCTCGTCAGTATTTTTGACGAATGTATTTGTGGGACGTTTGTATGAAAACATTAAACCTAAATAAATAAACGAACTGTCTGATTAATAATGACCTTTGTGTTTCACAAAAGCGTATAATGTGTTCAAATATTTGTCTAAGAGAAGTCTCCTTGTCCCAAGGTGTGCACTCGTGACGGAATGAATACGTTTCTCGTGTACTTGACCTGCACGAAAGTATTGAACCTGACCGTCTTGGACGACACGGTCTAAGCAATTAGCATGTTATCTTGTCAGTGCCCTTGGGTTTTTGTAAACATGCAGCTAAATGATGACAAACTCGACTAGAGGTTCGATAGTTAGGCCTTTGCGAATGCAGGGAACTAGCAAGCAGCGTGCTCTGATGCAAGCTCTTTCCTTTGAGGGAAGATTCAATGCAGAAGTGTATTCACCTTGCGAAGTTCGTTTCAAAGTCGTAGTCGTTTAATAGATGAAAAAGAGTCCTTTGTTTACAAATGGAGGAAAATATGTACGCAAAATTTCAACAATTGTATTTGATGTATGCAAAGTTGCAAATCATTTTTCTGTAAATATTTTGTAAATTGTGTAAAATATGCTTACTTACCTGCTGTACTTCTTTATAAATGATTAGAAATTGTTTACGTTACAAGTTTTAACAATGAATTAGGTTGCTCTAAAGCATCTCAAAGTTATTATTTTTACTCGACTTGCGAAATGCCTTAAGGTTTGCTGTAACTGGTAAATTGTTGTAATTGAAAACCAACATAATTACGACTGTATTGTGTTGTGGGAAAGAAATTTCTCTCCTGTTATTTGTAGACGATTAAAATTTGCGAAGTGAGGTTTTTTTTTGAAATTGTCAAATTCCTTGAAATGGAGTAAAGCCTCGAACTAAACGTTGTATGAATACAATAATTTAAACAAACTATGTTTTTAAAATTACTGCAATCGTTTTCTCACTTAGCGTGGTTTTCGCAGTAATCAATTTCAATTCCAGCTTTAGGGGACTTCTCAAAAACAGATTTTGTCCCTGGGTTTCGAAGCTTAGTTCTTCAGTTTTAATTTACACATCTTTGCTCGTTGTCGTTCTTCTTTTGAATGTCTCAAATAGTTTTCATCACTCTTTTGGACAACAGAAAATTATTCTCAATCTACATTGTTCGATCTTATTTATTTGGAAAATATTACAAAAGTTGATGCTGAAACAATAGTTATTGTTCCTTTTTAAATTTCATTCCTGTGCTTACATTCAAGTCTATGAAAGTCTCCCTTGATTGCAATTTTGTTGAGCGCGATTGGCGGTGTTTATTGGCGAATGGAGGTGGTATTTATTAATGTAGATTGATATTAAGTAGGATACTAATTACGTTCGCTCGGAAGTGCTGCATCCGAACTCGCACGCAGCTTTCTCTCTGACGAAGGCGCCCCCCGGCGGTGCCCCTCTGAAGCAGCCGAGCATGTCCCGATGCTTTACAGCGGCCGGAACTGCAGGGTTGTTTTCCCTGGCGGTTGCCAAGCCGTAATCCCATGCGAAATTCGTTTCCTTCCATAGACTCGCCCGAGCGCCCTTTCTGAACGCGCCCGCCGCCTCGCCACGTGCTCGGGTGCTGGGGACGGAGCAGCGCCGCAGCGCCGCGGGCGGAGGAGAGCAGACGGCGCCGGCTAAGAGGGTCAATGTCGCGGCGTAACGCCTTATCGACACCTCTTCCGCAGAGTGCTGGCCGGTAGTAGCAGGCGACGCGCAGTGATAGTTCAGATGGGGGTAAAGGAGGGGGAAGCTGTGTCGTCACGCGTCCTCGCCTCTCGGCCGAGCAGTGCCTGCGCCCAACTACGCTCCAGAGACTCTGGTAATCGTGTTTTTCATTTTGCGTTCAACGCAATGCGAACTAAACCAGGACAAATGTTGTAGGACACGATTCGGAAGAAACAGAAGGGAAAAGTGCACAAAATTCACATGAAGTTAAAGTAATCATTTTCATCGAAAGCTTATAAAATAAATGTAATTATATGCAATCTCGGTAATTGACCTACCATCAGGCGAATCGTTCTAAGCTTTCTGATATATTTCTCTTCGTGCAATAGCGCACAAAAATGCATAGCAACAAAATTCAAAATTGATAATTTTTTTGGAACACGTGGAAATTATTTTATTGGTCTAATACATTCACAAGCATACTCGACTGTTCAAATTCCTAAAATGTCCCTTTTAATGAACATTTGTGCATACATAACAAGTAGAAATAGGAAACTAAATTTAGAGTCACAGGAAGTGGGAGGTGTGATAATTAGGTGGCAAATTTTAATGAAATGTAATTTTTTACTTTCTGGCACTTACTAACGTAAAAAGAATTAAGATATTGTAATAGTCCGTTGGAAAACGGCGAGTTTTTGACACAAAATTTCTTTGCCGGGCCTTGGTAAGGAACAAGTGGATAAACCCAGTGGCTAAATATAGAAACAAAATTCCTCTAACACGTGGTGTAGCCAGAATCCATGTTTTGAGCGTCCTTTATATCGAAAAATCGATTGATGTCAAATTGTCGATTGTTGTCGATTGTCCTCTGTGCACTAGGTTAGCGCAAAAACCGTTCAGCCTATTTTCTCCAAAATTGATATTCGTTCCAGCTGATGTCGCGGCTCCTTGGATTTGAACTCGACATTGGGGGTACTTTACAAGAAGTCCCTGGAACATTTTCAAAAAGTTTCATAATTGCTATATTGTTTTATTAATTTTTGTTGTTGAATAGTGCAAAGAATGTTTAAGAAGTTAGGGAAGGTAAGAAGTTGTTAAGAAGTGCAGGACTAATTTTCGTTAACAGCCCCGATTTTTCAAAAATTGTAAAATAATATTTTTTTAAATTTCAAAATTTGAGATGTAGATTTTCATCTCAGACATTTTTTTGTACCAAATTTAACTTTTTAAAAACGTGATGCACAATTTTTTTGAAAAACGAGTAGTTTTTGCGTTATTTGCGATTGAAATGGACGAAATTTGTTTCTCTCAAAAACAGCCCACAATCTTTTAAAAAAAATCATTTCTTCACTTATGTAATAAGAGACGGTAAAAATATATGGTGCTAGTCTCATTTTCGGGTGTCACTTCAACAAAAACATTTCAAAACTACGAAATCGAAGATAGAGATTTCTGTTTCAGACAGTCTGTTGTACAAAAATAGCTCTTCTAAAAATATCAAGTATATTTTTTTGAAAAAATGAGTCGTTTCTGCGTATTTTACGCTTGAAAATTACAACAAAAAATTCACAAAATCCCTCCCAATTTTTTTTCATTACATTTTCTCCACATATGTAATAAGGAACGGTAAGAAATGTGTATTATAAATATACACAAAATTAAAATATTGCGTTCTCTTTAGTGCCGAAGACCTCCGATAGTAATTGGACATGGATGCATTTCCTTCTCCCAAGGCGAGAGAAAACTGCGAAATGAAGAGAAGAATTACGAGTTTAACCCCCTGTATTAGGAAGCCAACGAATACAGCTGTCGTCGCGCAGTAGAGATCGTGCTGCAAATGCTAAACAGAGTACAATCATGATGGCAACAAAATTATTATGATAATTTGTTCCCCACTCTTAATTGAAGAAGAAATTAGTAATGTTTACTTTCTCGCCTTACACATTTGCACAGATTAAAAAAGTATAGTATGTTTGGTTTTATCCAGTGTTTAATCCTCGGTACAATGCATTTAGCTAATCTACGAGTTGTTAACGTATTACAGTTGTCGCCCTACAGGAGAGACGCTAAATTGTTCGTTTCATACTTCAAATCTGTTAATTTGTGGATGGAGCAGTGAGTAAACAACTGGCCTGTCGGTTTTAGGCTCCGAAGACCTGTGGTAAGCAAGCAGGTCGCAATTCCCTACGTCATTTATTTGGCATTCTGTACCTGAGAGGATCTTTCACTTTATCACACAGCTATTTGAACAGGAACCAACAGAAGAGGACATATCACATGTACTTGCACAACGCATGTACAAGAGATACAGATTGGCAATTCCCCTCCCTTAACGCATCAAATACTTCTGAAGTAGATGTCAATATTCACAGACTGTCTTATCATTCGGACGGTTTTGATTGTATGCGCTTTACAATCTGTTGGCGACACCTTCAACTGCGTGTGACGTGTGATGGTAGACTGAGAGAAAAATATGGTGAAGAACTGCAGAACACTGTTAATGAAGTCTTAAAGGCTCTTCGCCTTCTAATATTCTGGTTATTTCCATGTATCTAAACAACGTGTAGCCTGAACGTTTTTAACCCTTGCTGGTATGTCCCCGGGTCAGCACGACTACAATTGCTAGTTTTTCAATAAAATAGATATTTTTTGCGTTTATTTTTACGTATATATGGAGAAATATACGTATTATAGAGAAAGTTGTGAAAAGCTGTGGAAAATCGATTTCGAATTTCCGCGTTTTCAGAAACGCTCAAACACCATTTTCTCGACAACTAATTATTTTTTATAAACTTTATTAGTCATAATTACATTTTTTTGCAGTTTTTGATACAAATTTCTCTCTGAAATAATGAGCAGTTTCTTCTCTTCCTTTGCATGGTTCGTTACCTTGCACTTATTTTCTTACTTTGCACGATGCCAACGCGTATCTTAATTTTTTATGTTGGTTTCAAAACCTGCACCAGAGAGTAATAGCGAGAAGTGTGTTGTAGTAGCGTCTCCGGCGTTTCATCCATTTAGATAAAAACGAGTGAACGATTTGTTGCGAGAGAGAACATCGAAATTGACGTGTGTCCAAATCGTCTCCCAATGTTTAACCCTTCCCAACTCCCATTAACCCTGCCCCATGGTTTCCAAATCCAAAGTCACTCTTTTCTGTAGGTTATATAATCTCTAAACCCTAGGATAAACCTTTTCCTAGCTTTTTAATTACTCTTTGATCCTCCCTCAGACTCGGTCCTATGAGTCTTTACCATCTAATGTTTTTAATATCTTGTTATCAGTCCCTTTACTCCACTAATTTGTTTTCGTTCATGACTTTTAATTTATGGTAAAATACTTATCTAGTGGCCAGCAGCAGCGATAATGTTCCTGAACGAAATCACACAAACTGGTTTTGCAAAACATAGCATGTACATTTTAACGCAAATAGTCTTCAGAAAAAAATGATTATATATACATACATATTACATACGTAGTACGTATGTATGAAACCAACACCTCTTACGTGGCCAGCAAGTGCATATTGTTCTTTCAATTTTTTCACGCATTGGAAATGCGTAGAGTGGAGTAATAATAATAATATTGTTAATAACAATATATTCACAGGAAGAAACAAAATTGGCTCATTTTTAAAATGAAGTCTATATTCTACACTTAAACCTGCCAAGTCGAACTTAATTAGTGACACATTCTGTCATATCCATTTAAAATATGTCCTTATAAGTCTTGTAGTAAATTGCTCAGAATGTCTGTTTTTCTCAGCCTAGATAACAATTAACGTGTGTGATGCCTTGTCGGAAACCTGAAAATGACAAGGCCAGATCTTGTATTTTATTTTTTCTTCCTGGTCAAATCATTTGCTAATCAGCTACACTTCCTCTACACTTTGACACTTTCTGTGTGCATTTTATGCTTGAGGCTACGTATAACGTTTTCCTGGTTGATGTGTATTTGTAAAAAAGAACTCAATGCAACAGAGATAAAAAAATTAATCAATCTGCATTTCCTTTCATTTGGGTAGGTGCATGAGCGACAGCAATAAGAAGTGAATGGATCGCCGTTAATGCGAGCTTCTTCGCAATTGTTTGAACTTTGTACCTTGAGTGATTTACCATAAATTTAAGAATAAAAAAAATTAGATGGAGGATACTACTCAATTATCACATGACTTATGTGAAAAACACACATTCAATACACTAGATGACTGAAGTGGCATTCACACATCTGAGTAGTAAGTAAATATCCAAGGCATAGTGAAGGTAATAGAAGGGAAGCGAGCTAGAATACGAAAAAATAAGCAAATAATTAAGGAAGATTGATAGATGGGAATAGATTCTGGGCATGTCAACGTCTAAGATCATTAGTCCCGTAAGTGTAGTGCATATCGTTTCCTCGAGAGGTTGCCGTGATCTTCCCCCGCCGGCGCCGACCTCTCTACGGCCAGCAGGGTTTCCCCAACCAGGTATCTCGTGCCAACGGTGAACCACCTGAACGGGGGCATGCTCTAAGCTCCCCACCTGTAATGTCGTGCCTGTAAGTGCACGTGTGTGTAAGGATGTGAAAGACGAGAGGAAAGGACAAGGAAGAGGAAGGAAAGATCGCGCGCGGTCACTGGCCCGTTTATTAGGGTATAGCTCCGGCATTCGCCTGGGAGTACTGATTGGGAACACGACGGAAAACTACCGATCAGAGCAGTCTGCCACTAGAATTCTTTCCAGATAGTGACTGAACCTAGCTTGATAGTGTCAAAAATCCAGCCAACGTCGAGACATGAACCTAGGACCTCCGATCAGAGACACTGCAGTGCTATAGTCCCTTTCCCGGTGCATTAAGGAAGAGGTTGAAAATTGTCAATGCAGTAATCCGACAGCAAAGGAAAAGATGAGGTAGAAGAGTAAGAGGGGGAGAACAAAAGAAGGTGAAAGAATAAATGGAAGAGATGGAGGAGGAAGAAGATAAGTAATATGAAGAAGCAAAAGAAAATGAAGAGGAATAATAAGAAAATGGGGAGGAAGAGGAGGCAGAAAATGGGGAGGAAGAGAGGGGGGAGATTCCTCCTCTCGAGGAGGAAGGAAGGAAGGAAGGAAGCGAGGAGGAAAAGAAGAGGAAGGCGCGAAGAGCGCGCGCGCGCGTGCGTCCCACCTTCCCGCAGGGGTCGTCGCCGTGCAGGTCGCCGAGGGAGGGCCGCTTCATGCCCTCGAGCGCGTTGCTGTAGTAGTCCACGCGGGGCAGCGCCTCCTTGGTGAGGTGCACGATGGACGGGCGGCGGTCGGCCGGCTCGCACAGGCACGTGGTGGACGTCGAGTTGAAGATGTCGTGGGCGGAGTGCGGCGGGCCCGGGTCCGCGGGGCCCGTCAGCCCGCCCACCAGCGTCATCTGGTGCTGGTTCGCCGCCGGGTCCTGCTCCACGCGACGCACTATGAACCGGTTCTCCATGGCCGGGCGTGATTCAATGGTTTCAACCGCAAAACCCGACTGAATCAGCTGCTTTCTCTGTCTCTGCGGATTCCCTTTGGGGAACTGCTTCGCTCCTGGCTGCCGCTCGGCAGATGGACGGCCTTTTGCGATAAGTTAGCTGAATTAGTGATACAACATTTCCACTACTCCATATCACTGGGCGTTCCTACTCTTCGCGTCGAAAATAGTTTTTTTATTAAGACCGGTTGTTCAGGTGCTTAGTACCGAGGTAAATACATTTTATTAAAATATCTTAACTAATATTTCACTATTTAGGGGATGTCCGAGTCATTTCGGTACCTACTAGTAGTGTCAGTCAGTTGTTACTCACTTCCTCTACGCACTGCTTTTTAATACGTTATTTCAGTACTACCAGGTTTGCAGACCGTCAGTAAAACGTTGCACTTGGATGCACGACATCTGAAAAGAAAGAAAAATTCTTAGTACTTAGTTTCGTAACTTCTGAACTTCACGAACCGAAACATTTGCGCCAATTTTTCGCCTTCGCCTTTTCAACCTCGACATTTAATTTACAAAGGTTTTGAGGAGTTGTGTAAACTTCTTTCAAAATATGGGGATACACTCCTATTTGAACACGAGTAAAAGAAGCCGATGTACAATTTTCGCGACACACTATTAGTACAAACTTTTATTAAAGTATTAGAAGATTACTTGTAATTCATAAATTGCACGGTCAATTGAAACTTTTAAAATGTTTTCAATTCTATCGTCCTTGATTTGGTTTTAAAGGAAGTGATTTTATGTAAAATGAAGGAAATCGCGGTAGTCTCCCCCACAAAAAGAAAAAAAATTGCGAACGCGTAGCAAACACGATTATTTTCTACCGTTTTCCTTTTTCAAACAATAGGCAATGTATTTTCAATTTTTCCATTCCTCATTATTATTAATCAGATGATTACACATTTAAATTTATATATTAAAATTATTTGCTCTCTATAAATGCTTAAGCAAAATATTTTTCTTGTCGACGTAGTCCAAGTATGGCGTTAGTATTATCTGTTAGATTGAACATTTGTCACAAGTTTTGTAGTACAACAATACCCTGGGTGGAGTCATCCAAAACCTCATAAAAATATCTATTTTGTCACACTTAAGAAGTTGCTTTGACGCAACCAGCTTCCAAGACGAGCTAGGCTGTGGTTTTATTGCAAGTAGATAGTAACTTCTCTGGCTACCTTAAAGACCCTAATACTTCTAAGAACGCTTTTTGAATGAATTTTCACAATGATTTGTTCACACAACGAAACCAATAGCTACCGACAACGAAGTGAACCAATAACTTTATTCCCAGCTGAGAGTTCTTCTTTATTCCTAGCATTTTTTTTTCATTCCCAAGGAATTTAAGAAATCGCTAATTTTTGACACCTTCGAATTCTAGTTGAATGTAGCATTTTAATTTAACAATATGTTACTTTAAGAAAGGGCAAAGGTAATTGAAGAGCCATCAGCTCGCTATATATTGATGTTCACTTGTTGCTGAGGGCTAGAAATGGATTACGAAATCACTCTCCTTTGGTCTCTGTAATTGAAAATGAAATATTTTTTGAGAAACGCTGCTTTGATGTTATTCACTTGTGATAAGAGCACTCCCTGGTCGGAGAAGAGGCGCCGCAGCAACTCCGCCCGGATAATCCTTCCCAAAGGAGCAGCCTCCCGGAGGCGTCGGCTGGCTCCGACCTCCGCAGACGCAGCCGCGGTTCGCGCGAAGGGGCTCGCGGGAAGGGCCCCCAGCTGCACTCACCTGCGACCGAGGCGGCGGAAGCTGTCACTACACACTGGCAGGAAATTGGGCGCCCGCCGGCGATTTTAAAAGCGCCCTCGGAGGCCGGCGCTGCGCTGAGATCGCGGCGGCGCCCAGCCATTGGCCTTGCGCTCGGGGGGCGCCGCCGCGCTTCCCCGCGCAGGTGGACAGTGGGGGCCCGACGCCCCCCCCACCCCTCCCCCTCCCCCGCCCCCCCTCCCGCCCCGCCGCGCCTCCGTCACCGCCGCCGGGGCCGCCGCCGCCGCCGCCGCCTGCCCGCCGCGCGTGCGTTGACGCCAAAGCAGCCACCGTCGCCCCCGCCCCGTCGCCCCCGCCTCCGTCGCCCCCGCCCCCGTCGCCCCGCCCCGTCGCCCCCGCCTCCCGTCGCCCCCGCCCCGTCGCCCCGCCCGCCGCCCCCGCCCCGTCGCCCCGCCTTTCACGATGGGGCCCGGCCCCAGGAGCATACTCGCACATTCTTGAATAAAATTCTTCTTCTGGAGATCGGAAGACCCTGGAAATGAAGTTAATTAATAGACGTAAAACTAGGTACGCCCTCTTGGTCAGCGCGCCCTCGCTTTCCACTATGCTACCCGGGTTCGACTACAGTGTGCGTTTTGCAATGGTCCAATGTTGCTCTGTAACGACGAGAAAATGCACTTCTGACGTTGAGAAGAGCCGAATACGGCGCGGAGATGTGTACGTGCTAACCACGCGTACCCTCCTAACCCATGGCCGCAAGGCAGGGACGTCGCCGGTAGGCCTGAGCCCGTTCACGGGCAGTCGCGCAAAGTACTTACATACATACAAATATTAGGGGCACTGCAGACGGTGTCAGCCGAACATTGGAATTGCGCTGTGGCTCTCTAGCAGGAAGACATATAAGAATTTTGGGCATTAAGGGTGGAGACGGGCCAAATAGCTACTGATGCATATGCACGCACGTTGTGCATACTCATATATGACGCTCGAAGCTTTCGTGTCTTTAAAATCCGATAAAAAAATTATTTGTTTCACGATAACCAAGAATTATTCGGCTTGCGGGTATATTAGCGAGCTATGTTTCACAGTTGACGGAGACAACCAGTAGCATCGTAGCAGCTGTTCTGCTACACGATTAGAGCGTTGAGTGTAGGAGAAAGTTCATACATTCTTAGTTTAATGTTTTTTAAGAATTGCGTAATCTCCCGGAAATGAATAAGGTGAAAATGGTAAAAAATGACGTGATGAAAAGCTGTAAGAATAAGTCATGTTGTGTTAATGAGTCGTTGTGGGACCGCAGTGAAACATTTTGGACAGCTGGGGACGGATAATCAACACATCAGAATACATCGATCGGATGAGATCATGAATGGCAGTTTAGTAGTTGGCTACTATAGCATATTTGTTCTGTAGTGTCTTTTGATGTCGGGCAAAGATCTGATTTTTAAATGGCATGGCCTAGAAAGACCCCGGCAGCCTGGAAGTATGCGAATATCTGACCAAGAGTCGAATTGGGCTGCAGCTTCTAAAGATGAAGAATCAAGTGCTTGGAATGTACACTCAGTTGTAGCTGGCGTCCCACAGGGCTCAGTTCTTTCGCCAACATTATTCTCAATGTTTACATAAGACTTTTCAACACTCCGTTAAGCGAATATTGCTGTACATGCTGATGATACTTCTATTTTCACATCACATTCTAACTGCTTGCTTTCCACGGTGAACTCCGGGTTCGATTCCCGGCCTGCTCAAAATAATAACTGTGCACTTTTCTTACGAATGTCCCAGTGACTACTGCTGTGTTACGATGAAAAAGCCAACCCCAAGGTTATGAAACCAGAATATACGGCGAAGGAATTTATTCGTGCTAACCACACGAATTTCTTATCCCATGGCCGAGAGGCTGGGTCACCGCTGACCGCTGTCGGCCAAGGCCCATAGCGGGCTGTCGATCCATAGGAAAGAACAGGACAGGAACAAAAATGGAGAATTAAAATTAAACCTTTAAAATCACAATCAAAAATATTCACACTCAGATGAACTCCCCTCTCAGAATACATAATGCCTGCCCCGTGACTTCCTTATTCTTTGGTGTCTTACCTAACTAGAGGTTAACTTGGAAAAATCCATGTTCCATAAATATCTCATAAAATTATCAAATATCTTAAAGTCCTTTCGACAATAGAACTTGGGAATTGCGTGTTCAATAAGAAGCACATAACATACGTTCAAACATTTTTATAAGCTTTTGCCAACTGAAACTCCTCCCTGAGAATATAAAATGGGCTACATTTCTGTGAATTGATAGCAAGACCCACAATACAACATAGCATGATACAATATAGCCCATACAACCCCAACATGTCCCAACCTATCCATCCCAACTGTCCAAAATATATCTAAGGAAAACCTTGAAAGGTCCCCGGTTAATTTCCAACTCACAATACCATCGAAAGCCACAAGTACACTCTACACTCCTAGCTGAGTTAATGCCACAGAATGCTCATCATCTTCGTGCATTAGATCAGAGATCTTTCACCCAGTGCGCCTGCCAGGCCGTCCGTCTGCTAAAAGCGATACATTTCTACAAGCGATTAAGATCAATTTTCAATTTACCTTTATAAAGATCGTATAACTGGGAAACGTTATTATTTCAAATAGAAACAGTTCACGTTACGCAATTGAATGTAGAATAAAAAAACACTGATGAGGGGTAATATACATTTTCAATAGTTGATTATATTATTTGAAGTAATATTCTTCATTAATTAATTTTTCTATTTCACGCTATACCTTTACATGTATACACTGCGATTGTAACGAACTTCTACATTTACCATACGAAGACGGTCACAGGCCTTTGCTCATGGTTCACTTGTTTGATATTTATATTGTAACTATAGGCACTCTACTACAGCGCTGCTCATAATTCCAAGCAGTCATTGTCAAATACAATAAATGAATTAAAAATTGTCTGCTTGTTACACGCTGCCGACGGATGTGTTTGTAATGAACTAGAGAGAATATAATTGAATACAGAGCTAGCGCTTCACGACCTATCAAAGTGTGAACTTACGTCTCTTATGATTTGAATTTATAGTAGGCTCATTCATATGCCTCTGTAATTCCTATTACCTCTATATATTGAACTGTGCAAACTCTCATATTTCCGCCTCCGACCTTGATCACGAACGTAAACCCGGGCTTTCCCCTCTACATGAGGAAGATACAATCGTACGCACATCTTCCATTGTGAACACCTCATTGAAATTCGGCGGAAGTCCCACTTCCGCGTCATCCTCTTGGATTTCAAAGAATCCGACTGGAACAGTTGTGGAACGGAGTGAGTGCTCATGCAGTGAATGATTATCACACACTTGTTAAAAAACGTTGTAGAAAAAATGTCCATGAAATGTCCATGTCCATGATTTGAAAGCTCCAATGTCATATTATCTCGAGTGGATTTCTCCAAAACAAATATTTGTTCGTTTTTACTCTTTTTCAACCCATTTTAACCGTCTCTTTTTGTCGTGAGTTTAAAGATGTCAGGGCTTAGCTAATCTTCTTTGCGGTATCAACCACTAGGTCTTTGGGACCAAATATTTGAAACACATAATTGGGAAACACTTCAATGATGTTCTCATTCTGTTAAATAGTTCTTAAATTCTCGATAACATGAATCAAGATTTTAGTTGTGTTTGTTTTATTTTTAACATAGCACCATTGTGAAAATGATGCTACAGAACCAATAAAAAATTTAATAAAAAGTAGTATTTGAATTTGAGAGGCTTATTTAATAATTGAATTCAGATTTAAGGGTTTCCAAAACCATGAGAATCTTAAAACGAATTATAAATGTAGTATTATTTGGGTCTGCTTTTTAAATGCCCATTTAGACGTGCCCGGAATTACAACAAGAAAGTATGTTTAATAATAATTAATATAATTAGTATATCAATGAATATAATAATTATATTCATTAATATTATTATAATTATATTAATAATGTCTCTATATAAAAATGCATGGGTCGATGTATACCAGAGCGGTGAACCCCGACACCATGTGACTGATCTCCATGAAAATTGGCACATCAACGTGTTTTAATCCAGAAAGTTAATAAGCGGTTAGTTTGGTTGTAACTCCACTTGATGGTCTGTACCACAAAATTGCACTTCATTTGAATTGAATATCCACGCAAACTGAGCTCCGCAGCGCAGTGACGCAGGATGTGGCCGAGAAGGTCAGGTCAGGTCAGCGCCGCGCGTAAGTCAGAGTGAGACAGAGAGATAGAGATAGAGAGCAGGTAGACACACAGAGAGACAAACAGGTAGAGGGAGACAGATTGACAGAGACAGAGGCAGAGATATATGCAGAGAGGACGGGGGCAGGGACGGGGGCAGGGACGGACTGATCAATCATTATTGTGGCTTAAAAGGCGAAGGATACAGCAGGAAGTGGTTTTAATAGCTGTTTAAGATCAGACGTTAGAATACATTATGACAGAGAGGTTCTCAACATTTCCCAAGATGGTAAATGGCGCATTTGCCTGGACCAAATAGAAACCTTTGATCATATCGTTTCACCTTCTCCAATTCTAACCTTGACCAAATACTTGAAAATACACGACAATGTGTGTAGTTACTTGTACTGGCAGATCTGTACCGCCCTCGAAGTTCCAAACACATGATTCACGTGGTATGAACACTCACCAAAACCGGTGACGTCTGTTGGGCTGTACACAGTATTGTACGACCAACAAATTCAAACGGATCGCACGATAGCTGCACACAAATCGGATATTGTTATCCGGGATTTGGAGAAAAAATCGTGTCTACTTGTATATCTGACTGTGACTTGCAGTCAAAACGTCGTAACCAAGGACATAGAGAAACGTCTTAAATACTAGACTTTGGAAATCGAGATCAGCAGAATGTGGGACGTGAAAGCGCAGGTCGTCCCGATAGTCATTTGAATTTTGAAATTTGTTCCGAAAAATTTGTGCAAGATCTTGGGTAAACTCCCAGGTCATTCTAAAGGCTGGAAAGTACTGTATTTCGAACAGCCCACATTTTTCGCAAAATTTTCTTAGGCCCCTACAGCCTTTAGATCTGATCTTTAAGAAGCTGGTTGCAACTCGAAGTAGATTTTATATTGAACCGAATGATTCCATATTTACTCCTGAATTAGAGGAATAATAATAATAATAATATTTTATAAATTATTTATTATGAGTAATGCAAGCTAAAATTATTAACATTCGCTAATGCATTTTTATAGATATTATACAAATTTCGACTAAACTATTTACTGAATATAAACTTGATTACATTAAAAAGTGTTGTCGATATTGCACTATTATTTCTCAAATGAATCTGAGAATCGTAAATGTCTGCCATTGTTTGGTTTCGTTTTTCCTCTTTCTTTTAACAGTGGGCACAATGATTAAAATTGTGTACAGAAGCTTTCCAAGTGCAATGAAATGCCTTGAACGAAAGCGTTACGGTTCAACGATAGAAGCATTGGACTTGAACGCCAAGGTTACGGAACCAGACACTGCGAATAGCAGAACGGTATTTTGTTTCAATTAGCCTTATTCCATGCTTACTTCATGTTTTGAATTCTAGTAAATATGGAATATCATGTGTCACCACGTGAAATTCATATACCAAAGAAAATAACATTGTAATATGATTTATTGAAAATTTGATTTTATAATCAAAATAATAATATATTGTCTGTGCACAAGGAAAAGTGACACATTTTAACAAAAAGCCATTTTGCAGCAGTATGGATTTATCATGAACGGAGCAGTTTACTTCGTGGCCAAGGACGTTTAATATACCAACTGTCTTGTCTGGTCCCTGTCGTCATTATTTGGTTTATGAGATTGGATAGGTGTTGCTCCATAGTATTCCAAATTTGTCTTAGTATTGGTCTTAATAGGCATTGGAGATTAAGGGTCAGTAATAATAGGGATTGAGAAAGATGGATTTGTGCTGTTTGGGCATAACGTTTTTGAGAACTGAGTGAGGATTGGATATTCTTGAAATATCGAAATCAATTTTCCGCAGCATTACATAAATTCCCCTTTACTACTTATATTACTCTGTATATACGTACGTATACGTGAAAGTAAAAAGCTATATAAGAGAATTAGAAATATCTAGCTCAACCGAGATAAGGAGGAGAAGGAACTAGTCCGAAGTTACTGAAAGAATGAATAGAAAGACAAGATTCTAGAAACGAATACTCATTTGCTGGCCAAGAAGACAGAATTAATTTATCATTTTGTGTTTTCGGGCGCGTCAGCTGCTAAGATAACTAGTCCCGAAAGTCTAGTGTAAGTTTTATCACGGCAGGCGGAGGAGTTCTTCCCCCGCTGAATGTCGCCCTACACGTCTGCTTGAGGGTGTTTTGTCCATCCATATCTCTTCTACCAGCGCGGTGGCATCGTCTCAAAAGGGACTAGCTTTAAGCCTATGGCTGGTAGTAGTGAAGTGCAGGTAAGCGTCTAAGTTGGACAGTGAAGAGAAAAGAAATATCTCACGCAGTCTGTGATTCGTTTGTTAGGGTACTGCTCCGCTATTCGCGTGGTAGCCCAAGGATCACATGATCTCAGGATCATTTGGCGTCTGTTGGATAGGAAAAAATGCAGAAAACTACCGATCAGCACAGCCTGACTTTATAATTCCCCAGACAGCCCTTGAACGTCGCCTAACTACGTAACAAATGTCGAAAATTCTGCCACCATCTGGACTCGACCCCTACGCTCTCCCGGCATGAGACTGGGCAGTGGTAACAGTTGATTCTCTGAGCCACTTCATCCGCTAAGAAGACCAAGGAGATCAATGGAAACTGTTGCACAGATGGAAGAATCGTAATTTTTGAAACCAGAACAGGAGTACGGCATATTCGAAATTATGATGATTGTTTTCA